ACTGCACTCCAGCCTGGCGACGGAGTAAGACTTCGTCCCCCAAAAAGAAATATATATATGTATATACAGATGGCCAGGCAACTCTCCAAACCTGGTCAGTCAGATCCACTCAGGAGAGACCCCAGACGTGGACGGTTCTGCACACCCCGGGGTGGTTCCCATGTGCAGCTGGAGGGGGAGGATCTCCGGGCAGCAGGGTTAAGACTGCAGACCCTAGCACTATCACTGCAGGAGTGTCACCACTTACCTGTGTCACCTTATCAGGGAAAGTGGGCCATCTCTACAAAAGAAGTTTTGTTTAAATTAGTGGTACCTGCCTGTAGGTCCAGCTACTCAAGAGGCTGAAGTGGGAGGATTGCTGGAACCCAGGAATTCAAGGTTGCAGTGAGCCATGTTCAAGCCACTGCACCCCAGCCTGGGCAACAGAGTGAGACTCCATCTCAAAAAAAAAAAAAAAAAATCTGTTATTGGTAGACTTTTGCACTATTTACGGTTTAGGGCTAATATAACAGAATGCTACTACAAACATAGTTGTATGTGCCTTTTGGTGATATATGTGTGCATTTATGGTGAATAGGTGCAAAGGAATGAAGTTGCTGGGTCCTATGACAAACAGATGATTAGCTTTAGTAGGGACTACCAGAGTTTCCTAAAGTAGTTATACCACGTGCACCCCTGGCAATAGCATATGATATTGGGGGTTTAGTTTTTATGTTCACTGGATTTATTATTTGCTCTAGCCATTCTGATGTATGTAGTGGTATAAGATTATTTCAATTTGCAATTTTGGATGACTAATAACATTGAACACTTTTACATTTGTTTATTGTTTAAATACATTAAATACATCATTTTGCGGCACAGGTATTATTTGCCTATTTTGTGATTGGATCTTTTTATTACTACATAGGAGTTATTTATACTCTCAATATAATTTGTCAGATAGATGTATTGCAAACTCTGTGGGTTGCCCTTCTGACTCTTAATGGTGTATTTTGATGATAGACCTATTAATGCAGACCAATTTATCAGACTTTCTTCAGAATTAGTGCTTTTTGTATTTTGGTTTTTGTATCCTGTCTTTGCCTACCAAGGACAAAAAGATATGCTATCTTCTGGAGGCTTTCTTTTACCTTTCATTTTTAGTTTAGGATTATCTGGAATTGATTTGTGTGCATGGCATGATGGGACAAATATTCTATGTTCTCCTTTAACATGGATATCCAACTGCTCCCATACCACTTACTGAAAAGACAATCATTTTCTTACCACATTGCAATGACATCATTTTCATCAACTAGGTAGTTCTATATTTTGGGGTTTATTTCTGGACACTCTGTCCCACTGGTCTATTTGTCTAGCATTGTGCTAATATCACTGCTTTAAGTGCAGAGCTCTACAGCAAGTCTTGCTATCTAGTGGTCTAGTCTTCTAACATTGCTCTTCTGCTTTAAAACGGTTTTAGCTTTTTTTGGCTCTCTATATTTCAAATAAATTCAGTCCTCTCTGTTTACTCCCTCCCCCAAGCATTATTGGGATTTTATTAAATCTATAGATAAATTTGGGAAGGATTGCCATCTCAGCAATATTGAGTTTCAAACCATAAACATAGTACATTATGCCATTTGCTATGATCTTTTAAAATTTTTCACCATGATATTTTGGTTTTATAGTTTTTCTTGTGGGAGCTTTTGCAGGTCTGTCAGAAGTAATTTCTAAGTATCTGATGGCTTTAAAAAAATATTACTGTAAATGTTGTCCTCACCAAATTCTATCTTAAGTATTGCTAGCTTATACAAATGTAGTTGATTTTTGTACACTGACCTTATCTCTAGTGACATCACTCTGCTGCAGATTCTTTTGGATTTTCTAAGTGAACAATCACAAAGACTATGGAATATTTTTATTTCTAACAAACAGTCAATCCCTCTATTTTGTTTCCCTAATTTGCAGCTAAGGTTATAGATTTCCCTATGGCTAGTACTGTTACCAGTCTCTCACACATTTTAGTACATTTATAAAACAAAGAACCATTAGATAGTTGAGGATGCTCAAAAATGAAAGAACAAATAAAAAATGTAGTCAAAAATGCAAAAGCAACTAAAAACTGAGGAACTTAAAAGGGACAATGCAGGACCTAGAATAATTTTTAAAAATATATAAATGAGTATCATGAGAAGGATAACACAGTAAATGAAATAAGAAGAGAGTTTTTTTTTTTTTTTTTTTTTAAACTTAATAGGGTTGGAAAATAAAGTTGTGGGGACCTCCTAGAAACTAAAACAGAGATGTGCTTTTTTTGTTTGTTTGTTGAGACAGAGTTTTGCTCTTGTTGCCCAGGCTGGAGTGCAATGGCACGATCTTGGCTCACTGCAACCTATGCCTCTCGAGTTCAGGTGATTCTCCTGCCTCAGCCGCCCAAGTAGCTGGCATTACAGGTGCCCACCACCATGCCCAGTTAATTTTTGTATTTTTAGTAGAGACGAGGTTTCGCCATGTTAGGCTGGTCTCAATCTCCTGACCTCGGGTGATCTGCCTGCCTCGTCCTCCCAAACTTCTGGGATTACAGGCATAAGCCACTGTACCCGGCTGCAAAGAGATGTTTAACAGAGGAAATAAGTTGAGAAATGTACAGGTTTCAACAACTAAATAACAGACGTTCTAGAAAGAGAAGAAAAACACTAAGGAAGAGGGGAAGTTACCACAGAAACAAAACATTAAAGACTGGAGGAATTTCCAGCACAAAAAGACATGAATAACACAAGGAATAAAAAAGACATGTCAATGATCATCATGGGAAAATCAGAAAACTCCAGATAAGGGATAATCCTAACATCTTCCAGATGAGACAATGGAGTGACCGTCAGAACAATGTCTCGCAGCAATGATGAAAGCTCTGAGAGTGAAGCAATGCTTTACAAATGCTGAGGGAAACATTGCTGCAACCTAGAGTTCTAGATGTAGGCAAACTATGAATGAAGCAAGCAGCAATAGACATCTGCTGACATGGGAGATCACAAAAAAATACCTCCCAGGTACCTTTCACAGGAAGCACTTGGAGATGGGCTCATCAAAATGAGCCAAGACAGATCCAGGATATGGAACATTGCAGAGGCAAGCCCTGAAGGATGGTGAGGCACACCCCACCAGCAACCAGTTCAAACAGAAGAACAGGATAAGGGCCCCTAAAGGGCTAACTCTAGAGAGAAAAGAATAGTACTCATAGAACAGAATACTTAAGTATGGTGAACAAATGGAAAATAAAGTAGTTTCACAATCCTGGGAGAAATTTGTTCATTTCAGAAAGTATAAAAAGTTGCTCAGGAAAGAAACTGTAATCATAATACACTACTTGTTAGTTAGCCAGTTAATAAAAGTTGTAAGTTAAACAATGGACATTAACTTTAACAAAAAATTATGTATCACTATTGTAGAAGGATGGAAAGGAGGGAAAAGTAACTCCTGGGGTCCTCTTGCCTAATAAGTTAACTGAGATGAAGTAAAGCCAATAAATAATGATTTAGTAGAACATATCTATCCTTTTCACAGATAGAGGTAAATACCAGGAACAACTGTTAAGAGTTTGAGGAGACGAACTCAGGGGTGGGAAAGAAAGGAACAGGAAAATGCTGGTTTCATTCTGAGCTGTGTAGCAGTATTTGAAATTTTAAACTATGTGTGTGATTAAATAGTAATAAAAACTACGTATTTTTACTAAATGAGGCAGGGTAAACATAGGGAACTGTGGTAAAAGGAAATGGTTTGAAATAATTACTTTTGTTTTCTTCAAACATATTTTAGGCTCTAACAGATGTTAAAATTAAGGACAAACGAGTGACAATAATACACATCCCAGGAAAACTACTGACTTAGACACTGTAAACCAATTCTGGGAATGGCTGGTAATTCATAATAAAGTCAAAGAATTCTTCATAAGCATAGGACAGAATGAATGAATGCAATTTCGTGTAAAAGGCAAGGGACAGGTGTTCAAGTACATATATTTTACATATGTATCTATGTATGTGTACAAATACAGAAAGATGATATACACTGACTATAACATACAAGTGCTAAATCTAACAAGTCCTGTTACTCAAAGAAATACTTTTAAATATTAGATAATTCTCTTGTCAATTATCCTTTTTCAATGTCTAGAGAAATTTCAGACACAAAACATGCAATTGCATTTAGAATAAATAGATATAACAGCTATTATAGAAAAAAAATTTACTTTTTTTGAAAAAGTTGGAAAAATTACAGGCAAAAAAGAATGTAGATTAAGTTATATTTGCAAGTTTCAAATATTTGTAACTCAAAGCAAAACCTCTAAAAGTATGTTGGGTACAATGGCTCACACCTGTAATCCCAGAACTTTGGGAGGCTGAGGTGGGAGGATCACTTGAGCCCAGGAGTTTGAGACCAGCCTAGGCAACATAGAAAGATTCTGTCTCTAAAAAATAAAAAATTGGCCAGGCATGGTGGCATGTACCTGTGGTTCCAGTTACTAGGGAGGCTGAGGTGGGAGGGTATCTTGAACCCAGAAAGTTGAGGCTGCGATGCGTGATGATCATGCCACTGCACTCCTGTTGGAGCAAAAGAGCAAGACTCTGTCTTCAAAAAACAAAACCAAAACAAAACCAAACCTCTAAAAGCAGTTTGAACTATTAACTTTAATAACGTAAATATCATGGCCTGGCTTGGTGGCTCACATCTGTAATCCCAGCATTTTGGGAGGCCAAGGAACCTGGAAAACATTGGAAGACTCCCATCTTTACAAAGGTAAAATTAAAACATCAGCAGGGCACGGTGGCATGAACTTACAGTCCTAGCTACTCAGGATACTGAAGAATGAGGATCACTTGAACCCAGGAATTTAAGGATACAGTGAGCTATGACTGCACCATAGCACGGTCAGAGTGAGACCCTGGGCAAAAGCAAGATACTAAATCTAAAAATAACATTAACAACAACAACAACAACGATAATAATGATTAATAAAAATATCAATTAATTTAAAATTTTATTCATGATCATTTTAATTAAAATAAATGTAATTGAAAAAAGTGTCCTAGAATAATACAGTATCAGATGTTTTAAGTGTTGTGATCAACAGTACAAAATAATAGCACTCAAACCTTAGTATCACACATATTTATTAGATATACACAATAATAAAATCACTCCCTACCTTAAAAACTTTATAGAAGCACTTTTCATTTTACAGCACAAAGCTCATATGAACCTACAATAAGCCTAGTACTCTGTTCACATGCCAAGGGATAAGGCTGAACAATAAATTAACCCTTTTAAAATGTCTACGAACCAGTACAATTTTCTTTCTGAGTTCTGCAGGGCAACAAACCACTAAGAAATATTTTTAAAGGCTGAAGAGAATCCAGCAGCAATGAAGTGAATTAAATAAAGAGACTAAGAGAAAAATAAATAGTTCAATATTAACAATACAGTATATTTGCCAGCATAGTCAAATCAGTGTAAACACCTTTAAAACATGAATACTGGATTTAGTTAAATGTTCTATCTAATTATGTCTGATATCTGATGAGAGTGCTTTTTATTATAGAAATAGTTTCTTCTCTTTTACGCAGAACTTTAAAGCAAATCCAAATAGACAACTTAACTGTTTTGGAAAACGTATTCACTGCATAAATGCCCACAATAAGCAATGCTATCTGGCTGTACGGTAATGTGAAATGGCATGGTAATGTAAAATATAAAAAATTTAACTAGATAACTTTTACTTCAAGCCTGGAGCAAAAATACAGAATGCTGATCTCATTACTTTATGTATCTATTGTAACAACTAGGAATTACTACCTTAAAAATATTCATTCATACAATGTTTTAGTTGCCTAGATATGTATGTAATGGGCCAGGTGTTATATGAATCCTGAAGAATAAAACTAAAAAGGTTCTCTGCAAAGAAAAAAATGTTGGCCTAGGAAGTATTCAGTATATCCTTACAAATTTAATTATATATGGTTCTTAAAACTAAAGAGAAATTTTTTTCCAAACAGTTAACTTTCTAAGTGGGTGTCTCTGCACCTATAAAGTAAGTCAAAATTTCAGAGGACCACAGATATTTAGAAACACCAAATTGACTATTTCAGCTGATGTTAGACTTATCAACTATACTTCCTGGGTATGTTCCCTAAACTACATTCTAACATACACATTTTTTTAAATCAATGAAACAAACATTATGTCAATTCTTACAAACCTAGTCATAGTAAAATATGGAACAAGTGCCAAATTTTCAACCTGGAAAAAGAGAATTTAAACCACGCGTTATCATACTCTTGAAACACATATCCATCGGTGAGTCACCAAATCTAGGGAGAAGCATCTGCAATTGACTATGAGGCTGCTGTAATTAATCTTCATCATCTCGTTGCAAAGGTACTACCTGAATTTCTTTGGCTATTCTTTCCGCTAATATTCTATTATTTGCAGCAATTACTCTTCGTGACATCAAATCAAATGGTCCACCTAAAAGTAAACAAGTATGAAAACTGTTTTAACTGGTACAAAAATAATTCGTATAAAACTAGTACAGCAGTATGTACTATGGTCACGTAACATTTTAATACTTTCAGTTTTCTAAAACAAAAATCTACTCTGCTACACTTTCTACAATGTGGAAGCATAGGCAATATATAACTAAGTATCTAAGCATAATTTTTGATTAACTAATGAAGTCCTATCAGTTAGAAAATGTCATATTTTCTCTATTTCTATTTTTATGGATTTTTATTACTTCTTTATTGTTTAAGAATCTACAGACAGAAAATGTAAATCCAGTGCATTTTCATACCATTGTCCTTCCCATTTCCTTATTCCTTTGTTGCCTTTCTCCCAGATCACTGGTGAATTCTTTCAACCCAGATTCACCCTTCGCTTTAAAATTTTCACCATCAGCTCAAAGTAAATATTTCACTTATCTAGTTGCCACACAGAGAGTGATGGTGGAAGAAATCCATCATCAACTATCACCACTGTCACCATTCAAAGAGCTCTGGGTACAAGCTTCAGAATCAGTGACTGTCTAGGCTGAGACTATCCAATCTTTTGGCTTCCCTGGGCCACACTGAAAGAATAAGAATTGTCTTGGCCACATATAAAAGACACTAGCACTAATGATAGCTGATGAGCTAAAAAATTTTTTAAAAACTCATTATGTTTTAAGACAGTTTACAAATTTGTGTTGAGCCACATTCAAAGCCATCCTGGGCTGCATGTGGCCCATGGGATGCAGACTGAACAAGCTTCGTCTAGGCTTTTTCTGCAGCCTTTCAGGAGTACCTGAAACTCTCACTAGAAAAGGATTAGCCATTTACCATTGTAAGTCTCGCATTACCATTAGTTCTTATCCTCACCTCTATCTCCTAATGCTTATTTTGATTTTACACATAAATATATAGCTTGTTTCTGCTTCAAAAGCTGCAGTATAACATATATCAAACAGTTTTTTAAATTCTACATATGGAGAAAAGTCCAACAGAAGTGTGGAGATCTGCTTCATTGTCCATAATTTTACCTGTAACATCCATCAGCACACCACCAGCTTCAGTAACAATAATCCCAGCTCCTGCGACATCCCAGCAGTGAATTCCCATTTCATAATATGCATCTGCTCCTCCAGTTGCCACAAGGCACATATTAACAGCTGCTGTTCCAACACTCCGGATCCTAGCAAATACAATTTAGAAATAAAATTGAAAAAAATAATCCTTCCAAGTAAGATATTCCTCCTTAACTTCACTTTAAGTGTCAATTGAAGAAACTTGGACCAATCTAGAGGATAAAGATTTTAAGAGGTGATATCTAATTGTAAAATAAAAGTATGTATAAATCTAATTATCATGGTATGTTATATAAATCACAAAACTAACCCTCACAAAGCAGTAAGTTAAAAAGTTAAACATTAAAACAATAAATTTTCAGGAAAAAACTGAAAATAATGCTTAATTCAACTATAATAAAATACAAGTATATTAATATTTGTCTAAATCCAGCTATTAAAGCTTATATTATTTTACACACATACAAATATACCCCACAATGCAAATAGTCTCTAGGAGGCGTAAAATACCATGGTATTGGTCATTCCCAATTGGGTTTGCATCATACATCTGCCTAAAGCAACAACAGCACACCAGGCTCTGCACAGACCTAAGCCTGCCTTGGAAAATTACTGCAGGTTTTCCCTCTCATAACACCTCTTCCTTGAAAACAAGTTAAGTTAAATATGAATACGCTTAAAAGGAATTACAGTAATAATTTATTCAGTAAAGAATCATCAATGTTAAAATCAGTGGGTGAAAGTTTGATACTTACAGAGTGTCAAAGTGTCTCTCCACAAGACACATAGTAAGTACAATGGAAAAATACCATCTTTACAATGATCCAGGTTATTATCACTCATAATGGAACAAAAAGAAATGTGCCTGATAAAATGCCCTGAGAAGAACAGAACATTACTTCTGTGGCATTCCTGGCAAAAATGCATAATCACGAGGAAACCAGACAAATTCAAATCAAGAGACAGACTACAAAATAATTGGCCTATACTTTTGAAAAATGTCAAGGTCATAAAAGACAAATACTAAGCAAGTTCTAAATTAAAGGAAATTGATGAGAAATGACAACTAAATACAATGCATGACTCTGGACTGGATGTTGGATTAAAATGTTCAACTTGTGAATAAAGTCTTTATATTAGATTATGTATCCATGTTAATTCCCTTTCCTTTGTCATTGTACTGTGGCTGTGTTAGACAATGTCCCTTTCATTAAAGACATACACACTGAAATGTGTATTTAGAAGACAAACATCATCATGTTTGCAAGTAACTTTCAAGTAACAAACTCCTTCTGCAACTGTTTAAAGTGATGGATATAAGGGAGTGAGTTCTGTATCGTGAGATCTTTCACAGTTTATTTATTTAAAAACATGGGAAACTGCTGAATAATGTGGTGTTATGAATTTTTACATCCCAAAAATTAAAATTAAAAAATATTGCATCTAAGTACATCCTTCAAGTCAAAGAAATTTAAAAAAGGATTAGAATAACATAATGTCATCGATTTGGCATGTTTTCCTTCATATGCTTTTGCTGCACATCAAATTTGAGAAAGCAGTAGTAAGTCCATCAAATTTCCACAGATGTTTGTTTCCCAGATAAATAAAATCAAATTAACTTTCATGGCATTTTTTGAGTTATAAAGAAAAGTGCATTTCCCCACTTTTCACATGAGATATATAATAGCTGATATCTCACATCATAGAATGCAAATAGCAACGTTTTTCATAAGTAATTCCCTGGTATTCTATTCAGATATAGAATCCTAGGCTAGTGTAAAAACAATGATACCTACTAGTGGTGCTTCTGTCACTTCTAATGAGCATGATGGGATTTCAGGCAAGCGGTCTTGCAATCAGGACAAGAATATTCTTTTATGGAAAATATGAACGGATTACCAGATTACTTAACTACCAGGTAATTAAGACTAGGATGTAGATTCTGTACTATGTGTTCTGAATCCTATCTTAGTGTAGTCCTCCTATACAGCTGTGGTCTGCCTATACAGCTAATATGGTATACTGTAAAAAGGATTATGTTTGATGTAACAAAGATTTGAGTTTGCTCTCATGCTCAGCTGCTTAAAAACCATAATCTTGAAGAAGTTTCTTTTCTAAGTTGTTGCTTTCATGTCATCAAATAAGGATTCCAATTTACTTTGGACAACTGTACTAATGACTGCAGCTAATATTTATAAAGCACCTAGCAGAGTGCCTAGCATATAGTGTTCATAATAAAAATAGCTACTTTTATGATAAAATTATTCTCTAAACTGTATCAGAAAATATCATATACCATACATAGTACATTTCATCTACATGAATTCCTGAAAATTAAACAAAGGAAATGGATCCAGAATAATTTACTTTGCCTCATAAATGTTAGTTCTTAGGAAACTATTAGACTGTTTCTGCTTGTTTAAAGCATTCATTCAGATTATAACTCTCTTTAGTTTCATTGCTTGCATAAGTAATTTTGAAATCCCATTGCAAAACTGAAGAATCAGCTGAATGCAAAAGATCATGAAAGAAATCAGTAAGTCAGTATTTCTCCTTAGCAATATTTTCCTGGTTATACTTTTGAAAAAAATCTGAAGTAAAAATTAGTTTTTATTTCATCCAACAGCAAAATTAAAGGTTAAAGCTGTAAACCTCTTGCAGTTCTTTTATGACTAACATAACCATTTTACAGCCCATGGTTAAAGTCTTTGCTTCAAGATAGCATACTGCAGCAGTAAGTTCATTGCCTTTCCCTCAAGGGCATCATTCTGGGAGGTTCTGTAGCTATTTGACCAGACCCTCTTTTACTTTACTCATTACTATAGAGACTACATGTGCAGAGTATATAATTAGTTTGTTCAAACTGTATTTTGAAGATTCTGACTCGTAAGAGAAGTCCAATATTGAAGAGAAATGATCTGGGAGCCAGGATTGTAGTCAATATTTCCATTCACCTATGCGAACTCAAGCAGCCACATCACCTCCTTGAACCTCAGTCAACTCATCTACAAAATAAGGCTAGATTATTAGATGATTTTTGATCAGTTCTAAGACTCTTCTAACTCACTGATGATATTTTCAAAAAGAAAAAGGTAAGAATAGTAGGTGGTGAAAATATTATCTGTGGTTATTCAAAATCCCCAGATTTCTTTCAATAACGGATTTTTATTGTGATTTTTCACATAGACATCTATGGTCAAAGAAATGCTATAAAATATAGCATTAACTATTTTAAAGTTAAGGACCTCAAACCTCTAGCTTTTCTTGAAGATTTAAGGATAAAAATAAGGGTAAATATTTCCTTTTAATTTCTCCATATATAAAACTGTCATTACAGAGAGCCTCTGAGGCTTGGAGAATAATAATGGCATGTCAATTTTTGAAACTTCCTATATATCCTCCTTGAAAATAATAAAATGAAATCAATAAGTAGAACAAATAAAGCCCATAGGACCCATTCCTTCAGCATTTCTAGAAATCTGGAAGCACAAACTCTAACTACCTCTAAGTAGAAGAAAACAAATAAATGAATTTTAACAGAGCGCCAGAAGCCCTAGATGCACAGAGTAGGGGAGAGAAGGCAGAAAAGACTTTGTAAGGAAGAGCAGGGAGGAGCAGAGGACTCACAGGGAACAAAGACAAAACCACCCTCGGAAAAGAGTAAGTGAGACAATAAACACAAAAACACTGAGCACAGACCAGCACTTGTTAATTCATAGTCCTGGCTACAGTAAGGCGCTAGAAAACATGCAGAACCTGACCAGGCAGCTTCACAGAAGCTGTGATGCTGAAGGCGAATCAGATAAAGATAGCAGAGGTGGTACTCCTTGGAAACAAGTAGAGGAAAAGCAGGAACTAAGTGAAAACTTAAGGATCCTGCAGAAATGAATAATAAACAAGAGAAGCCAACTCCATCTACAACCACCAGATATTCATAAAAGAAAATGGACAGAAGGGCACAACTGGCAAAATAAGAAATTCTGAAACCAGGAACCCTGATTACAAAATGAAATGAAACAGAAAAAAGTAGACCACATTCACACAAAACTACTGCAAAACATCAGACACTGTTAATAAAAATGGTTTTGTTTTTTCTTTTTGTTTTTGCTATAAAGTCTCTCCCCAAAACCAACAATGAAGGGGAATAAAATGAATATGAATTCAATCTGAGTTAAATATTTTCAAACAAAAACTTGTGAATACTTTATGTTAAATCAGAGATACAGAAACTAAGAGCAGAAATGGACCAAAACACAAACAAAAAACAGTATGACTGAACTCAGGTAAGAAATGGGGTGGAGAAATAAATAAAAGACAAAATTATGTCAGGAATAAAGAATAAATTACAAGGTACCAATAAATAAACAGATGAAAAGAAAACTTAGTAAAGAGAAATTGGGAAAAGGAATAAAAGAAGTAAAAAGAGACAGACAGACACAAAGTGGATGAAATAAAGACACCAAGGAGATGGAGCATTCCTACTGATGTCTTTAAAGAAAAATATTATAATAGAAGTATACTAGTATGTAAACTACTACATCTTAAGAAAACCTTCCAGAAATTAAAAGGACATGAATCTACATACTGAAACAGGTAACTGACCCAGAATGAACAATTCTAAGATATTTCCTTTAGAAACTGTTAGCCAAAAATTAAGGGGGAAAAAACAGCCTCCAGTTAAAACATAAAATAATGTAAAAGCCAAGAAAAATTAGATTCACATCAGATTTCCCCAAAACAATATACAAAGCAAGGCAACAGTGAAAGAACATTTTCAAGAAATTTATAGGTTCATTAAGGATACTATATCCAGCCAAGCTGTCCTGCAAGTCTCAAGGCCACAGAAAAGCACTTTGCAAAATACCCAAACTCAGGGAAAACTGTGCACATGTGCTCTCCTGCAAGGAATCTACCAGAGGATGAACTTCATCCAATTAAAAAGGTAGCTGGAACACTTCACAGAAGGACTGGGAGCATTTTATAATGTGAAATAAAGAGCTAGGATTCAAAGAGCAGGGTCGTGGGTTGAAAAATATGTAAATATAATATGTTCTGGTAAAGTAGACAGAATGTAACTTTAAAAATGGGATAAAGAACTAGATACAGGGAATGGGAGATAGTTACACAGGCATTAGGTAAAGCCAAGGCATTCTAGATAGTAAATAATTAAGAAAAGAATATTAAAGGTACTGTAAAAAGTTTTATTACAAAAGAAACCCGCTGGAATAAAACATAATCTTTACAAATAAAAAAGAAAGTTTAAAAGAAGCAGAGAAGGCACATCAAATGAACACAGTAACTACAACATCATACAGACAGTAATTATAACACAAAATACAACAGAATTGAGACAAATGCAGTCATATCAATAAATCAATAGGCCTAACCTATCTATTAAAAGAAAAATATTTTCAAATTGACTTATAAAGTGAAATTCCATGAAATACTGTATACAACAGGCACACTTCAAATGCAGTGATTAAAATGACTAAAAATAAAAGGATGGACAAAGATTTATCAGACAAATAAGAACAATAAGAGATTAGGGGGCCAGGCACAGCGGCTCATGCTTGTAATCCCAGCACTTTGGGAGGCTAAAAGGCAGACTGCCTAAGCTCAGGAGTTTGAGACCAGCTTGGGCAACATGGTGAAACCCCATCTCTACTAAAAAATACAAAAAATTAGCCAGGTGTGGTGGCATGTGCCTGTAATCCCAGCTACTCAGGAGGCTGTGGCAGGTGAACTGCTTGAATCTGGTAGGTGGAGGTTGCAGTGAGCCAAGACTGTGCCACTGCACTCCAGCTTGGGCAACAGAGTAAGACTCTGTCTCCAAAAAAAAAAAAAGAAAAGAATTGCAATTCTGATGTCAAAGTAAATTTCAAGCAAAAAAACATGAAACAAGACATAGAACACATAAAAATTACACAATAAACTATGTATGTAACTATTATGAATAGCCATCAAATAATATAGCTTCCACCTACATAAAATAACAGAGTTGCAAGGAGAAATACAGAGAAACACACTGAAAGACTCTGATACATCAGAGACTATCAGTATAAGGCAGGGCAAGTAGACCAAAAAAAAAAAAAAAAAAAAATTAATGAGGTAAATCTTTTGGTTATATATTGAATGTTATACCCTGAAAATAGAGAATTATACCATTTTTCAGTGCATATGAAACTTACAAATATTGATCATAGAATAGGGTACAAAGAAAACATCAGTAGGTTCCAGAAAGCAGAATTATTATAATGTAATAAAACTACAGATTAAAGACGAAATTTTTAAATAAGCAAAAAGGTGTCTGCTATGGCTAAATGTTTGTTCCCTCCAAAACACATGTTGAAACTTAATCACGAATGTGGCAGTATTGGGGGGGTGCTTTTAAGAAGTGATTAGGTCATGAGGGCTTTGTCTTCATGAATGGATTCATCTATCCATAGGTTCATGAATTATAGGTTAAGAGTGAGGTGATGCTGATAACAAATACTTGAAAATGTAGAAGCGGCTTTGAAATGGGTAATGGGTAGAAGATACAAGAATTTGGGGAAGCAGGCTACAAAATACCTGCATTTCCGTGAATAAAGCATTAAGGGAGATTTGGGTGAGGGCTTATCAGAAAAGGCCATGGAAAGTTTGGAACACCTTGGAGGTTGGGTTAGGTCGCTCTGGCCAGAATGCTGATAGAAATCGGAACAGTATTCTGATTCAGTCTCAGATAAAACTGAGGAACAAAGTATCCTGGAGGAAGGGCCATCCTTGTTATAAAACAGCAAAGAACTTGTCCGAACTGTGTCCATGACTGAGGGTTTCTTGAAAGCCTAAACCTAAAAGTAAAAAATTAGGGTATCTGGCAGAAGAAATTTCTAAACAAATTATAGAAAGAGCTGCTTGGTTAATTTTGGCCACTTAAGCTGAGATTTGCAAGCAAAGGAGTAATTTAAAAACAAATTTATAATTAAAAGGGAAGCAGAGTAGCCAGATGCAGTGGCTCACGCCTGTAATCCCAGCATTTTGGGAAGCCAACTTGGGCAGATTGCTTGAGCCCAGGAGTTGGAGATCAGCCTGGACAGCATGGCAAAATGCCATTTCTACAAAAAACACCAAAAATACAAAAATTCACTGCATGTAGTCATGCAAACCTATGGTCCCAGCTACTTGGGAGGCTGAAGTGGGAGGACTGCTTGAGCCCAGGAGGTTGAGGCTGCAGTGAGCTATAATCGTGCCACTGCAAGCCAGCCAGGGCAACAGCATGAGACCCCATCTCCAAAAAACAAAACAAAACAAACAAACAAACAAACAAACAAAGGGAAGCAGAGCAGAAAAACTTGGAAAATTCTCAATCTGGCCAAGTAAAGAGTGAAAAAGTGTGTTCAGAGGAGGAAACCAAGGGCTAGCCAGGAACCATTTGCTAAACAGATTAGCACAGCTACAAGGGAGCCAGGTGTTATTTCTAAAGACAATTAAAGAAAGAACCTGAAGGCATTTAAGAGATCTTCAAGACTGTCCCTCCTTCTACTGGTCCACAATGGGCCTGCCCTTATCAGGGCAGACTTGTTTCATGGAACAGGCCTGGACACTCTCCAATGCCGGCTGCCCAGAGCTACCAAAGACTGTGCTCCCTGCAGCCCAGCCAAGATCAAGTGATCCCAGGTGTGAGTTATACCACATCTCTACAAGCTGTAAGTTGTAAATCTTGGCAGCATGACACTAATTCTTCAAGCTTGCAGAAAGCAAGAGCTGTGGAGGCTTTCCAGCCTCCACTTGGCCTCAAAGATTGTCCTGAGAAGCCTGGGAGCCCAGGAAGAGACTTGTCTCAAGGGCAGAGCCACAGTCGAACTGTGGGGGTAGAGGTAGCAGAGAATCTCCACCGATGTAAAGCCTAGCAGAGTCCAGGAAGTAAGGCCACCACAGAGAGGCCCCACAAGGGTAATGCCTGACTAGCAGAACCATGAAAGCAGGACCACCACCAAGACCTCAGAACTGTGGAGTCACTAGCCACACGCAAGGTACACCTTGGAAAGCTTCAGGCATTGGACTCCAGTCCGTGCCAGTAGATATATGGGCTATACCTGCAAAGCCACAGGGGCATGGCTGCCAGAGGCCTTTACCCAGCCCTCGACCCCCATAGTGTCCATGAGGGGGTACATGTAGTCAAAAGTGATTATTCTTCAGCTTTAAGATTGCATGTCTGCCCTGCTGGGTTCTGGACTTGTCTAGGGCCTGTTCTTTCTTTTTGCCTAATTTTCCATTTTGCAATGGGAATGCTTGTCGTATGCCTGTGTTACTACTGTATCTTTGAAACAGATAGCTTTTTTTGATTTCACAGGCTCACAAATGAGACTCTGGACTTTAAAATTTTTAAGTTCATGATAGAACAAGTGAATACTTTGGGATCCTGGGGATGGAATGAGTGTATTTGTATGTGAAAAAGACAAATCTAGGGGTTCCAGGGGTGGAATGCTGTGGTTTGAATGTTTGTAGTGTCCAATACTCATGCTGAAATTCATCCCCAGTCTAGCAGTACTGAGAGGTGGGGTCTCTAAGAGGGCTATGCCCTCATGAATGGATTAATCCACTGATGGTTAATAGATTAATGGGTCATCATAGGACTAGGACTGGTGACTTTATAAGGAGAAAAACAGACCTGGGCTAGCATGCTCAGCCCCACTATGTCATACATGCTACTGCAGGACTCTACAAAGACTCTCTGCCAGCAAGAAGGCCCTCATCAGATGCAGCCCCTTGACCTTGGACTTCTGAGCCTCCTTAACTGTAAGAAATAAATTCCTTTTCTTTATACATACACATTACCCAGTTTCAGGTATTCTATTGTGAACAACAGAAAATGGACTAAGACAGACTCTCCTTGTAAAAATGTAAGAATATAACTCTTCAGTGAAAGAGGAAATACAAGCAAATTACAGAATTTATGAAAATAATGATAATGAAAATAGTAAGAATCAACATCTTTGGGATACAATGAAAATAATGATCAGATGAAAATTCATAGCCAAAATACTTACATCAATAAACCTAAAGGAATTTAAATAAATTTTCTAATCAAAAAGGAAAAAAGGAAACAAAACCAAAAGAAAGCACAAGGATGAAAATAATGTGCAGAAAAAAAAAAACAGGTAAAATTAAAATCCTGGTTGAGAAAAAAGAACAAGGAAAAAAACACAAATAGACAAAATAAGAAGTGATGAGGGGGAAATAACTGCTGATACAGAGAAGCCAGAAATTAATTATAAGAGTCTCTCTTGTAGAATTCTGTGCAAATAATTTGAAAACATAAAGGAAGTCAGTAATTTCATAGGCAATGAAAATGTTCCAGATCAAAGGAGGCTAAAGAGACATGATAACTAAAAGTAACGCTGACTCTAGACTGAATCCTACTCTATAAGAAGACAAATGTTATAAAGAACATTAGTAGATCAACCGACAAAACTGAATATGGATGACAAATTAGATTAAAAGTGTATTTATGAAATCAATGGTTTCCTAAATGGTTTCATGGTATGGAACAGAATCTCCCTATTCTTCAGAAACCATGATGTATGTAATTTACTCTAAAACGATAAAGGGAAAAAAAGCGTGTGTATGCACACACACATACACAAAGAGAGACAGCATAAAGGTAAAGAGCTTACCCATGAACAGGAATGCAAAAAAGCTTTTCCAAATTAGAAAGAACAATTCTTACAGTCTCTGGTGTTCTGGAAGAGCCCAACTCAGTCACCAAGAGTGATTTGGTAATATCTGAAAAGAAAATGTTAGGTTTCAATATTTAGAATTCTAGGAAATATCTGACACCTGTAATTCAGAAGAGAACATTTGTATCTCTCTTCCTTGTTTTATCAAATGTTTGTGTTTAAATATTAAAATACTGATAAATTTATTATTCCGAAGTAATCCTTTTTATAAGCATCAGAGTCCAGCTGCTTAGACCCTTCCTGAAAAAGTACATAATGTAACCAATTTGCCTGCATACATAACACCTTTGGTGGGAAACAAGCAAATATCTTAAATATTTAAAAAGGAAAAAGGAGAGATTAAATTCAATAAGCGATTTATGTACAGATTTGTAAGAAAACAAATTACAGTAAAAATTTTACTTTTACGACAAAAGTAAAAATCTCCGACATCCATTTACAAGGCTGACAGATTATCTAGGGCTTTCCATTTTCCTCTGAAACATCCTGACTGAAGCTCAGGACACACTCAACATCCCATATCTCACCTGCTCCCACCAGTTAAGATGTATGTTCACCAGTTATATTTGTTCTGAGCATTTTTGTAACTGCTGTACTACTTTTAATAGTTACATAATTTAGGGCCAGGCATGGTGGCTCACCCCTGTAATCTCAGCACTTTGGGAGGCTGAGATGGGCTGTTCATGAGGTCAGGAGTTCCAAATCAGCCTGGCCAACATGGTGAAACCCCATCTCTACTAAAAATACAAAAAATTAGCTGGGTGCGGTGGCGCACACCTGTAATCCTAGCTACTTCGGAGCCTGAGGCAGGAGAATCACTTGAACCCGGGAGGCGGAGGTTGCAGTGAGCCAAGATCACGCCACTGCACTCCAGCCTGGGTGACAGAGCAAGACTCCGTCTGGAAAAAAAAAAAAAGTTACATGACTTAATACTTTGTAAAGTGAAGAATGACTATGCAAAGGAAAAGAGTTGTTTCTATGAAAGCTATCACATTATTTCAGGTCTAAGATGTGTATTTTCTCACATGTTGACATCTAGAAAATAAGAATGCATCCTCTGTTTCATGGGGTCTTAGATTTTAATAAAAAGTAAATAGCCTAAAAATCTGCTCTTTAATTAAGTGTTTGATTGAGAGAGAAAAGTATAAAAGTCTAGAAATATTCTAAACTCGAACTGTTTTGCAAGTATCTCTAAGTTCTTGTTGCACTGAAAAGAATCTCAAGGTGCAAACAGTGGCAAATGCTTGATGTGGTTTATGAAAGAACAGTAGCTTAAAACTTCAGTAAGCTGTGAGAAAGAAAAAAAAAGTTTTAATCTACACAATGCCAGTCCCTTTAAATTATCAGGCCCGAAGAGTCATTTAAAATATACCAGCAGACAGTCTCACTCCCACTGGAGCTAAATAATTACCACTTGAAGCCACTTGCTTTGGGGGCTCTAGACTAACTGATGCCAAGTAGTCATAAAATGCCATACATCCTATAATTCAACAGTGTATAGCCAATCACTAAGCAATGTTATTTCTGTAAACAAATGAGAATTCCTGAAGAACAGCTTTTCTAATGACCCCCTCTCCCAGTGTGTCCCTTTTTCTTTAAAAGCCTCAGCCTCTCCTAAGTTCTCTGGAGCACTCTCCAGGGCAATCTGGAAGTGTGTCCAGGGCTGCAGTCCTCAACTTTGGCCCAAATAAACTCTCTATGTTAATTTTGCCTGAGCTTCCTTTTTTTAGGCCAACAGATGTAATAGAAAAGGAAAACTTAAATTGCCATTCAGGTCATATAAAATATATATGTCTCATTTTCAGTGATTCCCAGCTTAAATGGACTCCCCCCACTCCATTTATTTTGTAGTAATTGGTCCTAGGAACATCAGATCAGAGGAATTCTACAAAGAATTTTAAATGCAGTAGATAAAACAAACCATGAACTCCACAAGGACAGTGTGAAAGGAAAATAAATCTGAGGACCCAAAAATCACTAATCCAAGGAAAAAGTCAAGCTGGGAACTATGTCAGGCAAATCTGTCTCTCATTTAATTCCTAAATGAAGACACCTACAAAGACAAAAGAGCTACATAACTCCCTCACAATTTGCCCACAAGGAAATTCCTTGTGGCCTCAATATCCTTACCCTAAAACAGTTCTGGCTGAATTTCACCCTGGCAATGTAGCCTGATAGCTTATTTTCACAGGTGTGGAAGAGAAAGTCGACCCTCTGCTCACCTGAGACAAATTCACATCTGATTGCTTCCTCTGCGCTACTCTATGTAAAAATGCATTCACTGAGCCAGACTCAATTGTATATTCAAAGGCTGATTCAGGACTTAAAAGAATATAATCATTTGTCTCTTATCTACCTATAACCTGAACACTGAGACCTATCTCAGATATTTTGGGTTCACAATAGGAAGCCAATCTTAATCATATTCCTATCTCTATCACAAAATGCTGACCCTGAAGTGTTTGTCAATTACATTTCTTTCCCTGCTTCCACTCCAAATTTAAAACTGAAGTCAAAAAGAATAGAGAAAATAAACACAATTTATCAATCAGTTAATACTTGGAGACATAGGTGAACATTAAAAAACAATAAAATATAAGTACACAATATAAATAACACCAAAAATTGGAATTAATCCTACCTTCTTGTTGTGAAACCTGTAGTTTCTGACCATTACAAAAGGCACCTTTTCCTTTTCTGGCAGTGTACATCTTATCTTCCATACAACTGTATACAATTCCAAATTCTATCTGCAGAGGAAAACAAGTTTCCTTTACCAAACCTGAGTATGTTTCATCATTAAGCCAATACTTTTTTTCTAAGAAAATAACAAGAAAATCTGGTATACTATTAACTAGGGATTGAAATGGCTGAACTGTGGGATATTTAAAATGTTAATTTCCAGACTAATCAAGAGAAAGAGGTCACCAGAATTGAAATCCTTGATTCTGCTCCCATCCAAGTCCAAGTCCAGATCTATGAATACCTATCTTACTGTCTCTCTCTCCTGCCTCAGAAGACAGAGCTTTCCGATTTTCTAAGTGAACACTTCTGTGTTAGGACTCCTACCCTCTCATACATTCTCTGAAAAACTACTCCATCAGCTGATTCCCTTGTCTCCTGGATTTTTCTTCTCATACCTTTTCATCAAGTTTCTCTCTTCCTTACAAAACCTTCAAAATGTTATTCTATCCTTTCCCCTTCACTGCCAATGAGTAATTTTACATCTCCTATTCTCTTAATACATCACAATGTGGCTTCTGCCCTGATCACTCATTATTCTGAAAGTCCCACAAAGAGAATATCAACAAACTTTCTTGTTTGTTGCCTCAAATGCCTTGTCTGAAGAATTGGAGCCTGCCGGCTCAACATTTATTCAATACTTAATTCAGGACCTCCATGTTCCCAGCATTATTCTCTTAGTTCTACCTCACTTACTAATTCGTCTCAGAATTATAATTTTAGAACATTCTTTTCTCCCTCACCGTTATAAGTTAGGCACCTCAGGCTTTTTTCTTCCTTCTCCCATTGCTTCCATTTCCCTTTCAGTTCTCCACATTCATACAGGTTGGTTCTTTCCAGTCCACAAATTCCATTTTGGCTTCCATCAACCTCATAATCAGGGGAAGAACCTATGATTCCAAACCTTGTCTTGCAAAATCTCAGTCAAAGACAAAATCACTCCTTGCCTGATTACCTCCCATTCTTTTCCCATAAATCTTCAAATTTAATCTTAAAAACACTTTCCAATTTTGGCATTTCCTTGGCTATTCTCACTGCCTCTACTTAGTTCAGAATCATCCACACCCCAGTATAATCTCTGTCACTTTCCACTTCAAAACCAACAACCTAAAAATAAAAACTAAATTTTCTTGCACGGACTGGCCACTGTGCCTCACAGTGAGGCCGAACTAACCCCTGCCCCGGCCACTTGCGGTGCTTCCCTCTCCACGAACATCTCACCATTCCCCACACATGTCATGATCTTCAATTTCTCCAAGCTGTTCTTTCTGATTAAAACACTTTCCTCTTTTTTTTCCCCCATCTGGGAAACTCCTAGTTTTCTAAGGGCCAACTCACATGACCAACTTCTAAGACCCTTTCTGTCATGAAGATTTTCCCAATCTACTCTTGGCAGAATTGGTGACATGCTGTGTTCCCACAGTATTTTTTTCTTGGTTTCACCACATATCATCTTTACCTGTTCACACACCTAACTTCGTGCTGAGGTGTGAGTTCAATGTGAGGGCTAGCACACAGCCTAGGGCTGATTACATACTGAATGCTCACTTAGCTCCTTCTGGACATTCTCACTGATTAATACAACCCTGGGGCCAAGTTGTCATTTGTCTAATTTGTGTTTTATGTTCGGAAATTTTATAACTGCTTTTGTACATGCTGACCTTACATATCAAAAGTTCCTTGAAGACAGGTAGGTAAAATGTTAGTAACGATCCTTTACTGTCTGACCAACTAAGTAGCCAAACAGCAAGGAAATGCTATAGCTATGTGTTTTATTCCGCTGGACTTTAGACAGATGTATCCAGATATAAGACATACCCTGAACTATGTGAAGGTTCCTAAATAGACTCTGTATTTTCCAATATGCTTTGGCCCCTGCTACTTGCTGGTCTCTAATGTCTTTCTTCACTAACACCTACTAAAGCATTCCCAGCTCAAATCTTACCTTCTCCACGACACATTTTAAATCACACATCAACTCTTATCCCATCTGACTCTATCACATATATAATGGTTACTAAATACTGAGTTGTCTTTCAGTTACTTTCATGTATTTTCCACGTACAACTCCTGCTTCTCAGAAGACATTAAATTTTATTCATTCGAAATTTATCATAAAAATTTTAACAGTCCTGTAGCTTATATTCAAAATAATGCAGTTATATAAATCAAATACATAGACAAACCTGAATTTATTATGAAAACATATTTACTTTTTCTCAGAAAATGAGAGCAAGGCATATAATTAACCATATGTTTAAAAAACATACCTTTTTATTTACAGCAAAGCCAATTGAAACAGCTACAAAAGGAAATCTTTTAAAAAAAGGACAAAACACAAATTTACCAACATAGAATTTTGTTAATAAAATTAATCTTTTCATAATATAATGCTCATAAAATTTTTCCTACAAAAACTCTCATCTCCATTACCCACAAAATCTTAAGATGCAGAACAGTTTGTATGGTATATAACCCTTTGTAAATAGGAGATAAAGGGGACGTATTACACACACACACACACACACACACACACACACACACACACGCACACACGCACACAATGCTTCTATAGACATAAAACATCTCTGAAAGGATCCACAAGAAACTCATAACAATGGTCATCTCCAGAGATGGATCCTGGGAAACCAGAAATAGAATGCAAAGAGCATTTTGCCCAGCATTTTCTACCTTTTGAAGGTCAAATTCCATGAATATAGTAACTATGTAAAAATATTTTTTCATGGCCATGCACAGCAGCTCACTCCTCCCAACATTTTAGGAGGCTGAGGCAGGAGGATTGCTTGAGCCCAGGAGATCGAGACCAGCGTGCCTAGGCAACATGGTGAGATCCCATTTCTACCAAAAAAAAAAAAAAAAAAAAAAAAAAAAAAAAATTACAAAATTAGCTGAGTATGGTTGTGTACACCTATAGTCCAAGCTTTCCTGGGAAGTGGAAACAGAAGGATCATTTGAGCCCAGAAGGTCAGGGCTGCAGTGAGCTGCAGAGACACTGTCCTCTTAAAAAAAATCCAAAAAAAACTTTTAAATTGATTTGGTTAAAAAGCATATATTTTAGTGATTTTTTCCTCCTATGTTCTAGACCATGATAAACACAAGTACTGCACTGAACAAAATAAATTGCAGTTACATATCTCTACTCCAACAGCAAACTTTGAGCTTGACATCTGAAAAGTAAACGTTAAGCCAACATTTTTCTATAGCTGCATGACAGTTTGAACACAAGTTGTAACGGCTGACTCACAAGAGAATTAAGATCAAGGAAACAGACAAAATAGATTAGACTAATGAAGCTAAGGCTATTGGATATAAAAACTTCTAAATATGTAGGCTAGTTTTTATTTTAACAAAAATAAGATCACTCTATACACACTGTATTGTACAATCTTCTCTTCTGTGAAAATACAGTAGCATCTGTCCACATTTAAAAGATAGAACGTTCTATCACATATAGTTTTGAAATCGTAGCTCTGTAGACTTCAAGGACTGTATATATAGTACACATGTGTACAACTACATGGGAGCCTCAAATACGACATCTATATGTAATTCTACCACAAGTGGCTACTAATTTTAACTCTCATGGGCAATTCCATCAGGCTTCCTTCTAGTAATATCGTATACTTCCCTGTGCCAGATACTATACTAAGTTCTTATGTGAAGGTACTATTCACAGAGTCAAGTAACAAACAATTCCATGAGGCAAGTACTATTAATACAGACTTTTTATAAATTGTTTTTAATACGGTGGCCTAGAAAGTTTAACTAACTTGCTTAAGGTGAAAAAGCCGGTAAAAAAGCACCAGAATTGAAGTCTATTGATCCTAACACCCATGTAATTTTTATTTTAATTTTTTGCCAGCCCCAGCCCCATCCCAAGGGCTAAGGGAAGGGGCTTCCCCTACACGTTTTAAGCCTGTTTTTCTCCTGGACTGAATTCATTCTATAACAACAACATTCCAAGAGTGACTTCATTAGTTTCACCAAAATACACTCTTTTTTTTTTTTTTTTAAAGATGGAGTCTTCCTCTGTTGCCAAAGCTGGAGGGCAGTGGCACTATCTTAGCCCACTGCAATCTCTACCTCCTGGGTTCAAGTGATCTTCCTGCCTCAGCCTCCCAAGTAGCTGGGATTACAGGCATGTGCCACCATGCCCAGCTAATTTTTGTATTTTAGAGACAGGGTTTCACCATGTTGGCCAGGCTGGTCTCAAACTCTTCACCTCATGATCCGCCCTCCTTGGCCTCCCAAAGTGCTGGGATTATAGGCATGAGCCACCTTGCGCAGCCTAAAATACATTCTTTTTTACCATAATCAGTTTAAAAATTTTTAAATTTATTTTTATTTTCTGAAAACATATTTTTGGCCAGGTGCAGTGGCTCATGCCTGTAATCCCAAAACTTTGGAAGGCCAAGAGAGGCAGATTACCTGAGGTCAGGAGTTTGAGACCAGCCTGGCCAACATGGTGAAACCCCATCTCTACTAAAAATACAAAAATTAGTTGGGCATGGTAGCAGGTGCCTGTAATCCCACCTACTTGGGAGGCTAAGGCAGGAGAATTGCTTGAATCTAGGAGGCAGAGGTTGCAGTGAGCCGAGACTGAGCCATTGCACTCCAGCCTGGCCAACAAGAGCAAAACCCCATCTCAAAAAAAAAAAAAAGAAAAAAACCCCGTATTTTTACACAATTACTACTAACAGATCCATATAGATACATGGTATGTGATACTCAAAGGACAGAAAATGGCATGCAGTGCAAAGTGCCATTCCCACTCTTGAAGCAGCAATCTTGTTTGCTTCCCTTTTTACATAGTGCCAACAGTGAGAAAAAGAACGGTGAACAGGGCACTTGGCACCACAAGACAAGATCACATTAATATTTCTTTACCTCCTCCATATCTGATTAAGTCTGCATAATACATTTTGCTCCACTATTACACTTTATATACACTTTATTAGAATAAAGAAGCATAAACAAAGCATGCAATTTTCTAAAGTGTACATGTTCCTAAACATGTTCCTAACTACAGGTCAATCCAGTTAATATGCAAAGAGTAATGATAGTAGAAATTTAAAAACATACCTGTGTACAAAGTTAGTTGTTCCATCAATAGGGTCAATGATCCATGTGGGGTTGTCAGTTAAGACACTTTTTTCCCCGGCTGCCACAGACTCCTCACCAATGAACCTAAAAGGAAGGACAAACTCTTAATCTTTACATTGCTTTCAACCATTTCCAAATCATAACATTTTCTTAGCTACACAGAGTACTATAAAACATACCAAAAGTCTATACCCTACACTTTTCTATTGTTGCTTCTTCTTCCTTTAGGTAAGGACTGATAAAAGTAAAGCTTTAATTTATTTCCTCCAGAGCAAACTGATGTGAAAAATGTCAGAATTCAAATTCTAACATGTTATACCAGGGTAAGATGCATGCACACACACATGTGCGGCAGATGAGAAATCATTAAGGAGATGTAATGATTTTTAAAAATAGGTCTAGACACTCTAACACTCCTCCCTTCAAGACGCAGAGCCTCATGTCCCTTGCCTCATGTCCCTTGAGTATGAGCTACCCATAGTTACTTGTTTCTAACCAATAAGATGGAAGTGACAGTGTACAAAAGTTTGGAGACTTGTTCACAAAATGCCCCTCTGGTTTGCATCTGATTCACTCTGTTTCTCCCTCCATATGCTACCTGCTCCAGACTAGGAGATGTCAGCTTCCACGTTGTGAGCTACTCTGTGAAGAGGCTACATGGTAAGGAACTGAGAGAAGCTACCAGCAGACAACCCCTCCAGGCACTGACATCTGTCAGCAATCACATGAGTGAATAGATCCTTCAGTCCCAGTCCAGCCTTCAGTTGACTGCAGCCCCAACACTTAGACTAACTTCATGGAAAACCTTGGCAAGAACCATGCAGTTCAGCTACTTTCATATGTTGAACCCCAGGAAATGATGAGATAATAAACATTTCCTGTACAGAATAAATCAAAATACCTGTGAGATGGATACTTTTCTTTTATGGAAGAGATAAGCATGTTTTCAACTTTTTGGTCTGTAGCAGTTACCAAATCAACTGGAGAACTTTTGAGCATAACATTCATTTCATTTTTTTGAGCATCACAAACTACCTAAAAAGAGTTTTTGGTGAACAAATAGAAAAGGCATAAATAATTTTAAATAAAAAGATAACATACAGAAATGGCTTAAGACATTCAATCTGTCTTAAATAATATTCTTTAAAAAAATCTTAAAAATGTCTTGCAAATATATCCATAAAATAAGCCTTTAATAGTTACAACTTTCTACAAACAAAAATTATATAATCTTACATCGTATTTTAGATCACAGCTGTCATCACAGTAAGTTTGATCATATAAAATTAGGGTATATGCTCTATTTAAAGTATTTATTACAATGAACACAAATGTAGTTTGATCAAAATGAGTATTTTACTTAACAAAGCAGGCTAAATGTGGTGGTTCACGTGTGTAATCCCAGCACTTTGGGAGGCCAAGGCAGTCCAGGAATTCAAGACTAGCCTGGACAACATAGTGAGACCCTCATCTTCACAAAAAAATTAAAATAAATTAAAAGTAGCTGCACATGGTGGCTCATATCTGCTGTAGTTGCAGCTACTCAGGAGGCTGAAATGGGAAGATCGCTTGAGCCCAAGGCCAGGAAGTTGAGGCTGGATTGACCCATGATCCTGCCACTACACTGTAGCTTGGGTGACAAGCAAGACAGTTTTAAAAAAAGAAACCGAACCAAACCAAACAAATGAAACAAAGCAACAACACAGTGTCCTCACCAATCACATTATAACTGAGAAAACCGTAGTTCATACCTCTCCAGCTTGTCTTGCTAGAGTTACTGCATAATCCATGCATTCCTGCCAAGGATCAGCCATCTTCTGAAATATTTAACAAATATCTGTACAAAGTAGTTAAAACTGTCTTAAAAGTCTTAATTATAGAATAGTTAATTGTCAAAAGCATCTTAATTAGAAACAGGATTCACCCATGCCCTACAGTCATGTCAGGATTCACCCATGCCCTACAGTTTTTTCCAAGATTTATGCCTATACTCAGTAAAAAACATTTCTTACCTAAATTACCTCATTTCTACATATAAATATTTTAATAATAAAGATTATTCTATAAAATTGCTTTGCTTTCCAGTGTGTCCATATAATATTATATTTAAAACAAAACATTTGTTTGGAGAATAGATAAGAAACGACACAAGAAATACCTTAAAAGCTAGAATAATATTTGGAAGGATAATAAAGTGAAAACAAGAGAAAGAACACTAGGAATACTGAAATAAAAGAAGCTTGAAGGGAAGCAGCAAAGGGTACTTAAAAAAATTATGTGTAAAGATGAGGAACTTATGGCTCAGAGACAAATAATTTGCCTAAGATTACACACAAATGATACAGTCAGAACTTGAACTGAATTCTGATTCCATTGTTCTTACTATCATAACATTCTGAGAAGAGAAAATTCCAGGACCAAAAAAATAAAAATAAAAAAGCAAATTCATTTCCCTGAGTTTCAGAGATGAAAAAAAAAAAAAAAAAAAAAAAAACCAACATATATTTGTGTTCCAAACTGTCCAGCTTTCCACTGACTTCTGAAGACTAAAATAACACCACTGGCTTGATCACACTCAGAAGTCTGTACCTAGCACAGTAAAGCTTTTTAAGCTGTCAGACTAAAAACTGTGGCACCATTTATAAAGCAATACTAATTTTGTCTCTTTTAAAATAGAAAATAGACACTGAGTTAGACCTTGAAGACTACTCAGAAACCCTTGGCTTGGGGCCCACATTATAGGAAAGGGGACAGGAGAGGAAAGGAGAGCAAAAGACCCACATGGTGAGTTTCTGCTTGTTGCTTTTTCTTTCTGTTAAAAACATTTTTAAAAATTTTTTTTAAAGGAAGCCACTTTCTGAGTCATATAAGCAACTCCTTCAAACTCTTCAAGAATTGTTTCCAAACCTTTTTTTCACTCTTACTCCCATTCTGCTCCACTAGTCTTAACAGAACTAGATGTTCTCAAGCTGCAGCTTCTTTCCTGCCAGAAACAGCTCAAGCCACTCACACCCCCACCTTCTAACAACACTAATGTAACTCTACAAATTCTTCTGGTCCCATTTCAAAATCTACTGTCTCTTCTAGAGATTCTCTACCCAGAAGTCACTATGTGTTTCACCCTTCAATACATGTTTGCTGAGTACCTATTATATGCTATACACTGCACCATGGAGAGGAAAATCAGGTCCTGTTCACACTTACTTTTTAGGAGGGGACTCAGATATTAATCAAAAACTAAAGACTACATGCAAAATGTAATAACTGGAAAAACAAAGGCTATGGAGGAGAAGTGCAATGAGAAGCATCTAACAGGTGAGTCTCCACGTGGACTTGGGCATCAGATCAGGTTTCCCTGAAGACAGGATTAAACCAAGATAAGAAGAACAAGTGAACAGGCATGAACCCACTCAACTGCAGGATAGGAAGAACAAGTGAACAGGCATGAACTCACTCAACTGCAGGGTAAGAACAAATGAACAGGCATGAATTCACTCAACTGCACGATGCCTGCTACGTGAAGACTAACTGAAGGGCCTAAGTGTGACAGCTCAGAGATCAAAGGCAAACAGAAGGGATAAAGCTGGGGAGGTAGTGGGGATCATCCCCTACAGGGCCTTAGGGATAACACATTGATCAAAGAGGCTTCAGAAATCACTTCATTGTGGCTACTGAACAGAAAGGTAGAAAATAGGTGTGGGTAGAGGATTAGCAGATTTACATTCAGGATGCAGTAGTGTGGAGGAGACCTGACGATTGGCTCAAACCTGGTAAGGAAGTTTTGCTGGTAGAGAAGTTAAGAGAGTCAAGAGATACCTGTTTTGGGAGAATCAGCAATGGATTGGCTACAGAGTACCAGGGAGAGGAAGAGGTCAGATTCCCTCTGAATCTGGATGCCCAGATTTTCCACTCTGGCAACTGTACGGGTAAAGGTCACAGTCTACTGAAACAGGGAGTAATAAAAAAAGAGTCAAGTTTGGGATATGGGTGGGAGTTTGGGAGATCAGGAGTTTAATTAGCAGAAGATGAGGGGGTCTCTGTAAAATCAAAAGATGTCAGTTATGCAGCTGAATCATGGAACCTGAGCTCACAAGAGAGGTGTGGCCTGCAGATTTAAACATGTAAGTTACTTGGGTAGACAGCAACTGAGGTCCTGAGTCTGGACATCATTGGATATGCATGATTGACAACTGTGTAGAAATGTAATCCACACAACATCAGTATGATCCAAAGGGAAAATAGACTGACTGTGGAAACCCAGCAAGGACTGTCTGTTCAGATTCATCTTGGCCTCTCCGTCCAACGCTCCTTTCTCCTGTATACAGGGCCAAACCCCTTTTGAAATGGAGGTCTTATGATCTACAATCAGACAAGGCAGGTCAGAGAATTTCTTCATGGCTAGTTCTAAGACAGAAAGGTGGTCCAAGGTTGCCGTCAAGGGCTATGGGAGTTATGAGCCAGGAATGGTGGATAAAAACGTGTGTGTGTGTGTGTACAGAAATCACAGGTATATTTATTGATGGGCAGGTTGTGCAGTTTACTCACTTTCATTTTCCCAAAGCCATAAAAACCTGAACTGTTTCCCGCTGTTACTGTCCTGGTCATAGCCTTCCAGCGTGGGAGTCAGACCACCTTCTTTCCTGCCTGCCATTTGTCCCAGCAGCGCGACTGCGGACAGCACAGGACCTGGGAGCTGCCCTATCACTTACAGTGACTACCTGGCCCTGGAGATGCGCCAAGTTTCTCTGAGCTTTTCGGAGTCGGGCACATGAAAAGGGGCAAGGATTCTACAGAAGCCGCCACGGAGGTTAAGTGAGGTCGCGTGGGCGAATCGCTACTCCAACGTCGGGACTATTCCCCGTCACCCCAGGGCAGCCCCGGACAACGCGGCAGGTAGGGGTCACCCAGATGCGGCCTCCGCCCCAGGCGCTGACCGCGCACCGCGCTCCTCCCCGACCCTGCGGAGGGAAGGGGCCACCCTGAAAACCCACAGCGCCCGCCGAACCCGGAGGGTGTAGAGACGGCGCGCGAGGAAAACAGGAGTCTCACCTCGAGTCAGAGGGCGTCCTGGCTAGCTCTGTGCCCGCGGTTACCACGCTCGGCTCTTCCGGAGGTAGAGGGGCTACTCGCAACAGGAAGTTCCGCCTTTTAAAACTCCGTTCTTGAGGGGGCGTGGCTGCTTCGGGCCCCGCCCCGAGCTGCGCCCTGCGAGGCTCTGCCAGGCCTGGCCTGGTCCTGACCCGCTCTGGAGCATCGGATATTGCATCTTCTTTTTCATTTAAGGTTCTTTTCTCCTGCTTGCCCTTTCACCTCTAAATTTTTAAAAATGACTTCTCTCTTTATTTTGCCTTTTTCTTCTTTCATTCTCCATTCATTCACGGTTTCCCATTTAGCTTTTTTTCTCCGTTCTCCCATTTATTCGACAGTACTGTTTTGACAAAACCCAAATTGTAGCTATGACTCCGATTGTGCAGTTTTTAGGTGCTAACCTAAAGCTGGTAAACCTATACTAGATTTTTTTTTTTTTTTGTTAACTGATAACCAGAACCAACTGCCCAATTCTTGATAAATTACTTAGATACTATTTATTGAGGACTTACTATGCTTCAAGCAATTGTATGGGATATTTTTGTTTTTGCTTTTGTTTTTTTGTTTTGTTGGGTATTTTGCTGACAAGTGTTCCTTCATAACCAACTAATATTTCCCAAGTTTTGGCAGAAAAGTCATCAGTCATCTGTTTATGTAAATGAACATGGCTTCGGTGACTTGAAAAACTGCTAAAATCAGCATAACCAATTTGAAGTCAAATAAATTAAATATCAAATATCTTATCCCTTCAAATGAAAACCTTTCAAGCTTCTTACATCAGGTGAGCTGGAAATCCAGTTTTTCTGAGAGGCCTCACCTCAGCGGCTACTTCACATTTGTTCTCAGGTAACTCGGTTGCTTTTTTTTTTTTTTTTCAGTCCAAAGAGGCCTTTCTGCTTTCAAATAGCTACTGAAAGTGAAATGAAAATCTGCCAGTGCACAGGGAAGTCTTAGGGTTCAGATTCAATTGTGGCAAAAGTGCAAACTGGTTTTACAAATCCAAAGGATCTTTTCTCTGATGCTGTGAAGGTAGTTCAGATGGCTGCAGACACCTCAGTATGGGATGCACGGTCCTTGAGTTCCCAAAGGGGCAGTTTTGAAAACTACAGTCCCATCTGCACCCATTGTTCCCAAACCTAAGAAATCTGCTGTGTCCAGGTGGTTGTAGGGGGCAGAGGACAGTAGCACAAACTCTGCTTCCTGGCATGATGTCCAGCTCCTCACTCTTCCGACTTTCCCTAAGGAGAGTTCCCTCTTGGAGGCCTTTGGTATCTTTTCCTGTCAGCTGACTTCCATCTATTGGAGAGGTTGTAATTACGCTGAACCTCAGAATGAAGGAGAGGTGAGATCCAATGCCCCTGACACCTCCCTAGACAGCTGAGTGTACACAAGAGAGTTCTAGGGAAGTGTGGCCTTTGTGAGGCCACAAAATAGTCTGGTCATCCTTCCCAGTAGGCAACAGGTGCCTCCTTGTTCTGTATTTGTACGATAAAGAGGGACCACAGGAATTCATTCCCCAGAAATTGTGGGCATCTTGCCAACTACACTTAGTCTTTGGAGATGACTTCTTTTAAATAATCACTCTCTTCATTACAAAATAATACAGGTTCCACATGCCAAAACGTTCATAATTATAATAATTATTTAAGTGGGTTTTTATTTAAATTATCAAATTTATATATATCACGTACAGCTGTTCAGAGGTGGAGTGTGCAAGGATATCTAATCAGACCTTGTGTTTTGATATAACAGATTGGAGTGGCATATATTGGTTAGGACTTTGACATGCCCTTATAATGCTATCAGCTTTACAAGACATAAAAATATGTATCATAAAATTGTTATTCTTGGAACAGCGTATCATAGAATCGTCTCTCTTAAGAGATGGAAACTTTAAGAAAAAACTGGCATAACTATTCTATCTCTGGATCTTTATTCTATCTAATCATGGCTGTTTAAAATAATAAGTATGAACTCAACTGATCAGACAATCTGCTTTATGCCTCTCATTCTTTTTTTTTTTTTAAAAAAACGAATAACTTGGGTCACCCCATCCCTATCCATATTTTTGGACAAGTTTTACTATGTAAAGTCTGTCCTCCTTGATACATCTATTACAGAAATAAAATACATTCCAAATTCCATCCATGACCTTTCAACTACTTTGTAAGATTCTTTAAATATGCATAAAGTAACAAAAATAATAAGAGGGCTTACCATGTGTCAGGCATTGTTATAAAGACCTTGCTCATATTCATTCATTTGATCGTCAGAATAATACCACAGGGTAGGTGCTACCATTATTGCTATTTTCAACATGAATCTGGGCATAGGGAAATCAAGTAACTTGATCAAAATGTTCCACAGCTGGAAAACTAAGAGTGCCAGAAGTGCAGCCCAAGCACAGTGTAGCTCCAGAGCATCTGATCCTGACCTTTATAGACACTACTGATTAATTTGTTCAATAAGTGTTTTTTAAGGACCTACTCTTTTCAATCATTGTGCAGCGTGAACCCCACATATCCGAAACAGGTCTCAGTTAATTCAGAAAATTCATTTTGCCAAGTTTGAGGACACACACGTGTGACACAGCCTCAGGGGGTCATGATGGCATGTGCCCCAGGTGATCAGAGTACAGTTTGGTTTTAAAGATTTTAGGGAGACATGAGACATCAGACAACATATGTAAGCTGAACATTCGTTTGATCTGGAAAGGCCAGACAACTGGAAGCAAAGGCAGGAAAAGTGGAAGCTGGAGGGGGCTACTAGGTCACAGGTTGTGAGACAAATGGTTATATTCTTTTCAGTTTCTGATTAGTCTCGCCAAAGGAGGCAATCAGAATGCATTTATCTCAATAAGCAGTGGGGTGACCTTGAATAGAATGGGAGGCAGGTTTGCCTTAAGCAGTTCCCACCTTGACTTTTCCTTTTAGCTTTGTGATTTGGGGGCCCCAAGATTTATTTTTCTTTCACAGCCAACACTAGGAAATTTTTGAAAAAACAGTAAGTGATCCTTGTCTGAAGGAAGCTCATAGTTTGTTTGTTTCCCTAATTAGAAAGCAAATGTGTATGCAACTATTCTCATCATCCTGAATCTTTATTACTTTATGCTATCACCCTGTTCAAAACACTAGGTCCTTGAGTTCTACGCCAGAATCACAGACTTACAGAGTTGTATAGATCTAAACTTCAGTTGAATCTCTTTATTTTACAAATTTGAAAACTAAAGTGAAGAAAAGTGTCTTGGTCAAGGTCACAAGGTTAATAATAAAGTATAACTAGAAAGTAGGTATCTCATCTCCCAGGTAGTAAAATACATTTATTCAGAGTATGTATGTAATCCCAGCACTTTGGGAAGGTGAGGTTGGATCACCTGAGATCAGGAGTTCAAGACCAGGCTGGCCAACATGGAGAAACCCCGTATCTACTAAAAATACAAAAATTAGCTGAGTGTCCTGGTGGGCGCCTATAATCCCAGCTACTCAGGAGGCAGTGAGTGGAGATTGCACCAACTGCACTCCAGCCTGGGTGACAGAGTGAGACTCCATCTCCAAATGAAAAGCAAACAAACAAAAACATTATGTAAGTTAAATTTGGACAAAAGTCATTCTAATTAAACCTATAGTGGGTATTTCTGTTTAAAGGAGTAACATATTCTACTTAGGCAATTAGCATTATTTTGCACAAATCTTGGTAGTCATATATGGGTTTTGGTGGCATTAAAAAAAAAAAAAAACCCTTGGTTTTCTTATCAACGGGCAAAGTAAGTAAAAATTCTCTAATTCTATGATAAAATGGTGAACAGTACTGATAGAAAATGTTGACAGTTTTAGGTCCCACACATATTTATATGATTGCTATTTCAAACTAGCAGCAGATCTACCAGAGTTGAAAGTTAAAACTGATAAAATAATAGCACTTACGATGTCCCAGACACTCTTCTAAGCCCTGTACTTGTATACTCTCACTTAATTCCTAGGACAATCTATGGAGTTGACACCATTAGCTTCATTTTTTATGTGAGAAAACTGGACTATAAGAAGATTAAAGAATGTGCCTACAATCAATCATAAGGCTAGGAAATAGGGAAAGCAGGAAGCCAATTTAGAAAGGTTTAGGGAAGAAACAATAGAGTGCAGAAAAAAAGTGATAGCACTGAGAACTGAGAAGAGCACTGGCAATTGTATTACAGACTGTTTCTTAGGAACTACATTGACTATAAAGAAAGAAGACAGAAGAGAGAAGGGGTCGAAGAGCTGACCCTGTGTTTCAGGGTAAACGGTAATACCTTTGGTGGGTTAATATGGAAGACAGGAGAAAGCTCAGCTCTGAGAGCAGAGATGCCACATTTACTTTAAAACATACTCATTTTGATGTGCTAGTGAGAGCACCAAATAGAAATTTACAAATTCATTCACTGAGTGAGAATTTACCAAATGTCTGCTATATGGGTGTGCCTTCTTTAAATACTTAGGATATATCATAATCACTTTTCTATTGCTTTGTCTCATTTAGGAGACCACTGGAAGTATCACATTCACATCATAGCCTATAAAACATTCTCAAACCAACACAGTTGAAAAGTTGTCTCCTTACTTTGAACTTTTGTATTATCATCTCCACCACTCATTGAACGCTTAGCATGTATGAATATCCATGTGTGTGTGTGTGTGTGTGTGTATACATATATGTATTCTCTATCCCCAATATCAGATTTTTAACTAGATTATAACTGGCTTTAGAGCAGGTATCATTGTAGTTATTCTTTGACTCTCCCATGGTGCCTTACCCAGGGTAGGAATTCAGTAATGCTTTAATTGTTAGACTAGGGTATTTCTTTTCCTTTTATCTTGTAAGAAAAACATACATCTTTTCTTAGCCTTGTAAACTAGAATGATTAGTAACATTTCACATCCAGAACACATGGCTACTGTAAAAGGAGCCACAGACGCTAAATTGGCCTTGGACTGTGGAAAAGACAGCTGAATAATGGCCAGAGCTAAGAAACTATTTAACATCCCACTTTCGATAGCAACGGTTTTACAAACAGGAAGAGGCAGCATACAAACTTTAGCAAAGGAGTACCCAAACAGCAAACCCAAAGCAGGAACTAAGAGACCCAACAGAAGCACCTTGAGGTTATCTGTTTTTAAAAATATTAATCCCACTCTGAAAGTCAAATAAATTCCTACGAACATTAAAATAAAACTCAGAGGTCTAATTATTCTCTCCAAGAAGTTTGCTCTTTCGGGCATTCTACGTTTGATGACTATTCCAATTGATACCGGTACAAGTATGAAAAGAAGTGTTGACACAATTTTAGAAACAGGAATATGAAATGTACCTGACAACCCTAATATCTTACTGTATATGTAAGAATTGACAGGCATCGTGATCAGAGCCAATAATGTTGATGTGCAAGTCATCAAAATGGCCAATGTGAAATCTCCATCTAGAAGCAGAGCAAAGAGATAGCCCCCACCCCCTCCTGGGCATGTGCAGGTCATTACAAATCCAAAAGCTTGTGCCTCAGGCAATGCCACAATCTGAGACAAAAGAAATCCACAAAATGGCATCAGAAAAAACTGTGTGACTGCCCCAAGAATTACTGGCAAAGGTCTCTTCCATATTGTTTGAAACACCTGTAATTCAATCTTGCAACCAAATGCACACTTATTCAATAGTATTAGTGGTAAAATAAGCATTAGGATATTTCTATCAATATGCATTGATGCCTGGAGAAGACCGCCGTTTTGTTTAAGCACTTTGACTTTCACATTCTTGATTTCTTCAATGAGTCTTTTTTGCCTACCTTCAAAATCCCACAGTTGAATAGTCACATTTGTTTCTCCTTCTTCATCAGTCACCAGATTTATGGTAAAGTTTGTACCATCTGATGAGATCTTCTTGATCACATTCACCATTTGCAGCATTTTAGGATCTTCTATTTTTACAAAGAGGTAGCTGGAATTAGGCCGTCTATCTTTGTAGCTTGAATTTACAATGATGGTCTCTTCAGTCTTTGTGAAAAATAGTATTTCAGTCTTCTCTATGTTCAGAAAACTGAGAGATGATAACCTTGCTTCTTCTATAGTCACAAGCAACAAAAGTAGAGGAATAAAAAGTTTTCTAATCATTCTGAAAGCTTAAATCATATATATGCAAAACCTTTTTTAAAAAATGAAAGAATATTCTTCATGCAGGTGTTCCAGTGACAGTCTGAGGGTGAGTTAGGTAACAGTTGTTTTTGCAGGATCAAAGTCCAGTAGGAGGGACTGCTGTACTTTTAAACAAATATATAGCCATCTAGGCAGCAATATAACCGGTTTAACTTGTGATTAAGAAAATTAAAAAGCCATGGCATTTAGCAGATTCAATTTATTACAACAGAATTTAATCTCTTCCTCTTGACTTCCTCATTTCTGCTTATGCAAAAAACTCAGCCTCCTGTTTACCTGCATTTAAAGCCTAGTGTCATCATTCTTAGTTCTTTCTTGCTAAAAAAAAAATTAGACTAAAAGCAATCAGGATCAAGAAATCTGTAACAGATACTGAGCAAACCTAGAGTTCAGTGTTACTGTTTTCTTCAATCAAGTCAAAGTCAAATAAACAGACACTGAATGTCTGTTTGCCCAGGGCATGGAGCTGGGAGCTGGCCATCCCATAATGATTAAGTCAGATGGAGTCGCTGCTCTCCTGCTTAGTGGGGTGACCCAATATAACAAGTTAGAAAACTGCAGAGCCCAGACACTGGCCTTGGCAGTATCCCTCAGCTGCTAATAGTTTTCCTACATCTCTGAAAGGTGACTGAATCCGTCAGGTGAAAACTGACACTGTTTTTTGTATACTTAAGTAGGAAAATAATTTCCTGAATGGTTACCAGATAACTTGGGAACATAGAGATAGTAGTTAGCTGGTACCATGGCCAAAGGTACAGGCTGGCTAAGGGACCATGGCTACTGAACACTTGGATCCTGAAATGATGGGGTAATGGAAGGATACCAGCATGGTTCTAATCTCTTATTCCTTCTTCATAACACTAATCTGTTCATAGTTAGGGGCAAGGGCATTCAATTGACCCAATTTGGTCCTATCCCTTGGTTGCCAGGAATGAGAAAAAGCATCAGACTTTTTGGGTTTCAACCCATAGGGTCACAAAATTGTGTATTTCCCACACAAGGGGTGGGTGTCCTGATGCTAAGCAGCAAACAAGCAAACCAAAGAAACAAACAAGGGCAACTGTTTACTATTAAAATGTAGTAGTTTCTGAACATGTGACCATTTCAGCAAATCTTTCATGTAATCACAATGCAATGTGTTCAAGGTAATGCCAATTCATATTAAGAAGTTTAGATCACTTTGTTCCTTAAAGATGTCAAAACATTTTTGTCATTTTAACAGATTTTATAAAAGCATACCATTTATGTCGGTTAATCTCTCAAGTGCAATAGACCTTAGATCTCATAAATTTTATTAATATGTACCACATTAAGAAAAACAAGATCCACCGTACCAATGGTGAGAATAGGGAATGGGACACTGTTCAGTGATGTTGCAGTTAAAACTTCCCTCTTCTAAAATGACAAATGCAAACAAATAAACAAAAAACAAAAAACATCATAAAACCTAAGTTATCTTTATGTGATAACTTTCATCATAAAACCTAAGTTATGTGACCAAATATCTTGACTCATAACTTTTGTTGCCCAGGTTGAAGATGTGAGTATGTCAATTTTTCTTTCCCTCAAAACTCTATCTGCAACCCTTTTAGTTCTTCGGTTTTTCCAAGCCCTTTCATTTGAAAACTGTTAAGAATAAAGCCTGAAAAATCCAGGAAAACTTTGATAACCTATAATTCATCTGTATAAGGGTTCTTCAAAATTTTCATAGAAAATATGTATTATAAAAAAGTGTGCATGGATGTCAATTTTTTTTTGCACCAGAATAAACTAACTTTTTATAGCATGTCTGAAAAGGACCTGGTGAGGGACACTAACAAGAATAAGACAGTTAGAAAAGAGCCCTTTTATCAGAGAAACATGAATTCTGCTAAAATTGAAGCAAGAACACACATCAAATTTATGGTGAGGTTTGGGTGGAAGAATGGTGAAATCACTGATGCTTCAAATAAGGTTATGGGGACAATACCCCAAATAAATCTGCAGTTTACAAATGGATAACTCATTTTAAGAGATGAGACAATGCTGAATATGAAGTCTGAAGCAGATCATTCACAGCAATTTGAGAGGAAAAAATTCATCTTGTATGTTCTCTCATTAAAGAGTACCAGTGATTATAGCACAGACAATATCTACTATAGTTTGGCTCTGTGTCCCCACCCAAATCTCACGTAGAATTGTAATGAGAGGAAGTGTTGGAGGAGGGGCCTGGTGGGAGGTGACCGGATCATGTGCATGGTTTCTGATGGTTTAGCACCATCACCCTAGTGCTGTCTCATGATAGAGTTCTCATGAGATCTGGTTGTTTGAAAGTGTGTAGCACCTCCCTCTTTGCTTGCTGTCTCCTGCTGGCAATGTGAAGATCAGCTGTCTTCCCCTTCTGCCATGATTGTAAATTTTCCAAGGCACCCCAGCCATGCTTCCTGTACAGCCTGTGGAATTGTGAGTCAAGCTTCTTTACTTTATACAATAACCACTCTCAGGTAGTTCTTTTCCTTTTTTTCTAGATGTAGTTTCACTCTTGTCACCCAGGCTGGAGTGCAGTGGTACTACCTCAGCTCACTGCAACCTCCACCTCCCTGATTCTCCTGCCTCAGCTGTACTAGTAGCTGGGATTACAGATGCTCACCACCACGCCCAGCTAATTTTTGTATTTTTAGTAAAGATTGGGTTTCACCATGTTGGCCAGGCTGGTCTTGAGCTCCTGACCTCAGGTGATCCACCTGCCTTGGCCCCTCAAACTGCTGAGATTACAGGCATAAGCCACTGTACCCAGCTTCAAGTAGTTATTTATTGCAGTATGAGAATGGCCTAATACAATATCCAACATCACAGATGTCTCAGTTGGTTCAGCTTACACAATGCTGACAGAAAAATTAAACTTGAGCCAACTTTCCACTTGATAGGTACTGAAACTTGATAGGCACTCAGATCAGCTACAGACAAGAGTACTTTTGTTCTCTTGGTGGTTTTCCTACTTAAAATTTCGATTGCCTTTCAACAAAAATTTTAAACAAGTGGGATCAAGATCCTGAAGCACTTCTTCCAAGAATTGTAACAGGAGATGAAATATGGCTTTACCAAGAGACAATTCTGAAGACAAAGTACAAACAGAGCAATGGCTACCAAGGCGGAAGTGATGCAGTCAAAATAAAAGTGGATTAGTCAAAAGCAAAGGTCATGGGAACTGTTTTTTGGGCTGCTTAGAGCATTTTTCTTGTTGACTTTATGAAGAGCCAAAAAATAATAACATCTGCTTATTATAAAGGTGTTTTGAGGCTGGGTACAGTGGCTTTATACCTGTAGTCTCAGCACTTTCAAAGGCCAAGGCAGGAGGACCCATTGAGGCCAGGAGTTCAAGATCAGTCTGGGCAACATAGCAAGAGCTTGTCTCTACCAAAAAAGAAAGAAAGAAAGAAAAAAAATATGAGAGTGTTTAGAGATAGCCAAAGTTTTAGCAGAAAAATGCCCAGGTAAGCTTTGCCAGAGATTGCTTCTCCACTAGGACAATGCTCCTGCTCATTCCTCTCGTCAAACACGGGCAATTTTGAATTTCAATGTTGCAAGTCATTAGGCATCCACCTTAGAGTTCTAATTTGGCCTCTTCTGACTTGTTCTTTCCTAATCTTTAAAAACAAAAAACCAAAAAACAAAAAAAATTTTAAGGGGTACCCATTTTTCTTTAGTTAACAATGTAAACAGACTGCATTAACATGATTAAATAGCCGGGACCCTTAATTTATTTGGGGATGGACTAAATAGCTGATATCATTGCTTACAAAAGTGTCTTAAACTTGATGGAGCTTATGTTGAAAAACAAAGTTTATGTTTTCTATTTTTATCTGTTTTCTGAGAAAGGGTCTCACTTTGTTGCCCGGGTGGAGTACAGTGGCAAGATCACGGCTCACTGCAGCCTCAACCTCCTAAGCTCCAGCCATCCTGCTGTCTTGGCCTCCCAAAGTGTCAAGATTACAGGTGTGAGCCATCACACCTGGCTTTTTTTTTTTTTTTTTTTTTTTAGATGAAGTCTTGCTCTGTTGCCTAGGCTGGAGTGCAATGGCACTATCTCAGCTCACTGAAACCTCCACCTCCTGGGTTCAAATGATTCTCCTGTCTCAGCTTCCCAAGTAGTTAGGATTACAGGTGTACACCACCATGCCTGGCTAATTTTTTGTATTTTTAGTAGAGATGGGGTTTCACCATGTTGGCCAGGCTGGTCTTGAACTTCAGACCTCAAGTGATCCACCCACCTTTGCCTCCCAAAGTGTTGGAATTACAGGTGTGAGCCACCATGCTTGGCCCTGGCCTATTATTATCTTTCAGTTTTTCCATGAACTTTTTGAAGTTCTCTCATATTTGCTGCCTGATTTTCTAAACTAGAACTCATTTGTATTATACTGTTATTTTCACTACTTATGTAAATTTAAAACTTTTATTCTCTTTGTGGATTCCCTACTTACAATTTTATCTGCAAGTAGGTGGAAGGATGCTAGAGTGGAATGGGGAGAGTGAATCTTTAAAATTTTTTTAAGAATCTTCAACTGAAAGCCCTAATAGAAAGCCTGAGGCAGTTGTCTGCTTTCTGAGTAATGTGGAAATAGAGAGCTAGCAACTGAGTCTTTCCTCTTTCTCCCACACCTAGTTCTCTTTAGGAGACTGCTCCTGCTGCAGCAACCAGGTCCCAGTACTAAGGATGCTAGCTCCTGTCTCCTCCAGACTAGTTTGCTCCACTATCTGGCATCACACCTAACTTACCACCAGTAAGCCTGCTAATATTCAAAATGTAAGTTCTTCCTCCAGGCGCGGTGGCTCACTCTTGTAATCTCAGCACTTTGGGAGGCCGAGGTGGGTGGATCACCTGAGGTCAGAAGTTCAAGACCAACCTGGCCAACATGGTGAAACACCATCTCTACTAAAAATACAAAAAATTAGCCAGGTGTGGTGGCACATGCCTGTAATCCCAGCTACTCAGGAGGCTGAAGCAGAAGAATCGCTTGAACTTGGGAGGTGGAGGTTGCAGTGAGCCGAGATTGCGCCACTACAGTCCAGCCTGGGCAACAACAGTGAAACTCTGTCTCAATAATAATAATAATAACAACAGTAATAAAAGTCCTTCCATCCAGACTGCTGCTCTGTCACCCAGGCTGCAGTGCAGTAGCGCAGTCGCAGCTCACTGCAACCTCCGCCTCCCGAGTTCAAGAGATTTTCCTGCCTCAGCCTCCCAAGTAGCTGGGAGTAAAGGGACATGCCACCATGCCCAGCTATTTTTTGCATTTTTAGTAGAGATGGGGTTTCACTGTGTTAGTCAGGATGATCATGATCTCCTGATCTCGTGATCCACCCTCCTCCACCTCCCAAAGTGCTGGGATTCAGGACTGAGCCACCATGCCTGGCTCCTTGTTTCTTTTCTACCTAATAATTGATAGGACTTCATTCTCCTTAGGTTTAACTCAATTCTTGTCAACCTTACTTCGCCACTTCTCAACATCCAGTTATTATTTTTCTGGCATAGTTTTAGTCAACTGCATGACCATGTGTTGATCTTCTACTATGTGCAAGTATTTGTGATAAACATTATGGTATTAGTTTACATTAAAACTTATTGGTATCTGGGAATATATTTAAGTATAATACTTTCTGATAAAAGTTATTGGAACATAGCCATACTTATCTATTAAATTAGCATCTGTTACACTACTTTTTATTGTTAAGTGCAAGCATAGCACATTTTATGGTGCTCCATTTTATTGTGCATCAGATTAAACTGAATGCAGTGTTTTCCAGGCTGGAGTACAGTGGCACGATCTCAGCTCACTGCAACCTCCGCCTCCTGGGTTCAATCAATTCTCCTGCCTCGGTCTCCCCAGTGGCTGGGGTTACAGGCATCTGCTACCATGCCCGGCTATTTTTTGTAGTTTTAGTAGATGGAGTTTCACCATGTTGGCCAGGCTGGTCTTGAGCTCCTGACCTCAAGGGATCCACTTGCCTTGGCCTCCCAAAGTCCTGGGATTACAGCTGTGAGCCACCACACCTGGCCTATCAGAGCCATTTTTCTAATAACATGCATTTACTCTGTGTATCTGTGTCACAGTCTGTTGATCCTCTCAATATTTCAAACTTTTTCATTATTTTTACATCTGTTATTGTGATCTGTAATTAGTGTTCTTATACTTGTGGTGGAAATGGCAAAAGAACAAAAAGTAGAAGTAGAGTTTGATAATGTGATTGAATTGCTGCAATCTCTTAACAAAAGGTGAATGGATGAGGTGTTGCTTCTTGTGGATGAAAAAACAGTAGTTACTCAAGAGGGAATCTCCTCCTGGTAAGGATGCTATGAACATTGTTGAAATGGTAACAAAAGATTTAGATATTCCATAACCTTAGTTGATAAGGCTGTGGCAATGTTTAAGAGGATTGACTTCAATTTTGAAAGAAGTTCTACTTAGGAAAAAATGCTATCAAAAGCACTGCATGCTACACAGAAATCTTTCATGAAAGGAAGAGTCAATCGACATGGCACACTTCATTGTGGTATTCTTTAAGAAGTTGTCACAGTCACCCCAACCTTCTGTAACTACCACCCCAATCAATCAATAGCTATTGAAATTAGACAAGATTCCCCATCAGCAAAAACATTACAAATTGTTGAAGGCTCAGATGATTATTAGCATTTTTTAGCAATAAAGTATTTTTTTATTTAAGGTATACACTTTTTTTAGACGTAATGCTATTGGACACTAAATAGTTTATAGTATAGTGTAAACATAATTTTTATATGCTCTAGGAAACAAAATAAATTTGTCTGACTCAATATACTAGAATATTTGCTTTGTGTGGTAGTCTGAAACTGAACCCACAATAGTTCCAAGGTATACCTTTTATTTGAGTTCCCACTAAATGTAGGGATGTTGAAACATCTTCATTGTGATAATCATGGCCTTTAGAGACAAATCCCTACCATTAGTGGGAACTCAAATAACTATGCTAATGAATGAAAGTACAAGCACACAATAAAAGTTGGAAATTATCTCCATCCCTTACATAAAAATAATATGGAGAATTTGAAAGACAATAAACCAAATGAGCATTCCAAGTTAATTCTTTTTAAGTAAACCTACAGCCACAACATATGTTCATGACAATTAGAGTGGAAAAAGGAAAAAGGCTTTGGGAGGCTGAGGTGGGTAAACCATGAGGTCAGGAGATCGAGACCATCCTGGCCAACATAGTGAAACCCCGTCTCTAGTAATATATAAGTGAAAATTAGCTGGGCCTGGTGGTGCATGCTTATAGTACCAACTACTCGGGAGGCTGAGGCAGGGGAATCGCTTGAACCCGGGAGGCAGAGGTTGCAGTGAGCCGAGATTGTGCCACTGCACTCCAGTCTGGTGACAGAGCAAGACTTCATCTCAAAAAAAAAAAAAAAAAAAGAAAGAAAGAAAAAGGAAAAATAGAAATAATTTCTATTCTGTCTATATAGTAGTAGTTTTGGGGGTATAGAGAGTAAACATTAGTCAAGAACACTCATCTAAATTTGTTGGTAAAATGTAGTCATCGTTTGGCATGTGTTTTGCTTTGGCATATAATGAAGTTGAGCTATCCCATCTTTCTTCTCATATGATATAGTCCCACAAACAAAAAAAGAATCTTACTAGAGGTGGGTCTTTATCAGAAATATCTGTCAAGCCAGTTAGGTAATAGGAAAACAATCATTTTCTCCTCCTAGGCCTAAGATTCTTCATGTAAAAATTGTAAGACTGAATAAAGATGACCTCTAAGTTTCTATAATTCATGTACATCTATCAATTTATACATTATGATGTAGATAGACAGCAGATAATACTTTCTGGCTCGGCCACATGATTTGCTTAAAGCAAATATGACACATGCATCTTTTAGGAGAAAACTGAAGTGCATTTCTTCTGTTTCTCTCTCTGCTAAAACAATGACAATGTCCCAAAAGAGGGCCCTTCCTTCACCTTTGATCATGGAGTGCAGATGACACAGAGTGGTACCAGAGTCAGTCAGCAGGTAACATCACTCATTGGGAAACACATCTTTGCTGTTGTCACTACAGCACAACCTAATGAAAGCTAATTAAATATAAGAATTTGCTAATAATTGAGGATCAATACCCAGTTAAACTTAAAACCAAAACACTCTAATTTAATAGAAAACTCATAACTAAAATGTGACATAAGCGGGAGATAAGTTAAAATGCAACTTTAAAAAAATTACAAAAATAGTATTTGTAGTAAAAGAAATGAACTTAAACATGTAATAGAATTTTCCTTGTGATTTCTGACTTGAATCCTTGAATGATTATTCCAAGTAAGATTCAACATTTTTACAAAATTGTTCTTCATCATTAAGATATTCCAAGATTATATTTCCACCATTATATAAAGGACAATCCTCCTTAGCAACCCAGGTTTCCAAAGTATGATCCAAAGGTAAGGCTTCTCCTGAAGTAATGTGACACAGCCTTAATTTCTGTGAAGGGAGAAGTAATTCATACTTTAACAAATAAACATGCTTGAATGGAGCATCATAAAACCTTTATGGAAATATTATCATAATGAGATGTTACCTTGGCTGTTAATTTGTTATTGTCATTTTTAAGACTGGCTAGAGAAGCGGCAAAGTCTATGGCCTTTCCAATGCTCCATCGGTGGCAAAAGAACATGGGTTTGCTCTTCTCTTTGCTCCCTTTAGGTAAGAAAACCTGAAAGTAAATTCTTTCTGTCTGTAAAAAGAAAAAGTTAAAACAACCATTACATAGAGGAAATAGACATCAGTTTTTGTCTGGTGCCAACCTTTCCGCTCTTCTGGTCAGAGCAGAATTACCCTCTAACAATGTACCTATTGTTTGGAATATCAATCACAGTAGCCAAAAATACATGTAAGTGCATGGGCATAGGACCAAGACCGTGGCCAGGGTGATCTGTTTTTTTGAGATGGAGTTTCACTCTTCTTGCTATGACTGGAGTGCAATGGTACAATCTTGGCTTACTGCAATTTTCTGCCTTCTGGGTTCCAGTGATTTTCCTGCCTCAGCCTCCCAAGCTGGGATTACAGGCATGCACCACCATGTCCAGCTAAGTTTTGTATTTTTAGCAGAGACAGGGTTTCACCATATTGATCAGGCTGGTCTTAAACTCCTGACCTCAGGTGATCTGCCTACGTAGGCCTCCCAAAGTTCTGGGATTACAGGCGTGAGCCACATCTGGCCTCTCCTTAATTTGTTTAAGTTTCATCAAATTAAACCTGGAGTTGCCTACAGTGAACCCTGTTACCCATAGTCATTCCTGAACCAATACGGAAAAAGTTTCCTCAAATGGGAAAATATGAGGTCAGTGTAGAAAGAGAAATAACACAAAAACAGATAAACTTGACATAATCTGAGTCCCTGAATTTGGTCATCCCTCAAGACCAGATCAATTCATTATTCCCCATTACATGAGGGAAAAAGTTTGTTTTGATTGTTCTGGTTGGAACTGAGTTTTTGCCATTTAATAATTCAAAGATTTTTTAACACATATAACATTTCTTTTTGTGTGAAATACCTCACTATACATTGGGACAGAAGGACTTTTCAGAACAAGGAAACATTAAAAAAAAAAAAAAAGATAGAAAAAGACCCCAAACCCCAAGTACCTTATCAACAAAAGAAGGAATTTGGAAAGGATTTCTCTGGTATTCTATATCCTATCTGCCCTCTCCTTATATTGTATTTTCTTGCCTAATTAACAAATGGATGGCTGAGCATAATGGCTTATGCCTGTAATCTCAGCACTTTGGGAGGTCAAGACAGGCAAACTACTTGAGCCCAGGGGTTCAAGACCAGCCTGGGTAATATGGTGAAACTCTATCCCATCTCTACAAAAAGTACAAAAAAATTAGCTGAGTAGAGTGGTGTGTGCCAGTAGTCCCAGCTACTTTGGAGGCTGAAGTGGGAGGATCACTTGAGCCTGAGAAGGTTGAGGCTGCAGTAAGTGGTGAACATGCCACTGTACTCTAGCCAGGGCAATAGAGTAAGACCCTATCTCAACAAAACAAATAAAAACAAAAAAAAAAAAGGCAGGCAAGAATGAATAGGAGCAAAAGGTTTGGCCTTTGATCTTCACTGATTCCTAAAAACTGCTTTTTAAAAGTGTGTGTGCCAGTAGTCCCAGCTACTTTGGAGGCTGAAGTGGGAGGATCACTTGAGCCTGAGAAGGTTGAGGCTGCAGTAAGTGGTGAACATGCCACTGTACTCTAGCCAGGGCAATAGAGTAAGACCCTATCTCAACAAAACAAATAAAAACAAAAAAAAAAAGGCAGGCAAGAATGAATAGGAGCAAAAGGTTTGGCCTTTGATCTTCACTGATTCCTAAAAACTGCTTTTTAAAAGTGCTGGCTTTACAGATCAATTCTTGCTAGAACAAAAATTTTGGCATAACTGGAGCATCTCTAACTTGTGGGGGAAAGAGGATAATTATTCTGAGAAATAATAAATTCAACACAATTCCCATCTCGGCATTAGGGGTTTTGTTATTACAGGTAAGAAGTATTAAAAGAAAAAACACGAAATCACTGGAAATTCAAATGGTGAGCCACCTCCGTAATCAAACAGTCCCTGCTCCAAAACAAAGTAGGAGGAAGACAGAGAAAGAGAAAATTTAAAAGATACAGCCTTATCTTAAAAAAAAAAAAAAAGATAAATATGTATGACGATCAAAAATGAAACAGAAATGCAAAGTGACAGGCTGGGTGAGCCACAGGCTTTCAGGGCTCCAGAAGAGGAAGAGGTAACTTTAGCTTAAGGTAAGTGGGAAATAACAGTACCACAGGGAGATAAGTATAAACTCCCGGGTCAGGCTCCCTACTTGGAAGCAGAGGAGTGTGAGGGACCTGTGCTCCAGGAAGGGCAGCTAAAGAAGTTACTGCTGAAAGCCTGCTTAAGTGCAAAATTGCTAGACAGGGATCTGTGAGTGAGGGGAAGGAGAAATATAGGAAGAACCTCCTAATCAAGATGAATGTGTGAAATTCAGTAACTGAAATTTCAAAATAAACTAAAGGTTAACTCATTATGGGCAAATAAGACAGTTGAACTTTAAAAAGACATTAAAATAAGGTATTTAGGATGTACAATTAGATAAAAAAGTGATAATATCCATAAAAAGGAACAAAAAATTATAAAGTCAAAACTGGCACAAATAAAACAAGAAAAGACATGAAGATACAGCTTAAAAAATAGCTTCTGGAGTAAAACACTCAAAATTTAATATAGATAAGTTTCTATAATCCTCAATAAAAAGCCCTAATTTATTATAAGATGGATACGAGGAAGTCATCCAGAACACTGCATAAAGAGATACAAAGAGAGAAACAGTTATAAGTTGGGCACGATGGATCACACCTGTAATCCCAGCACTTTGGGAGGCTGAGGCAGACAGATCACTTGAGGTCAGGAGATTGAGGCCAGCCTCACAAACATGGCAAAACTCTGTGTCTTCTAAAAATACAAAAATTAGTTGGGTGTGGTGGCACGCACCTGTAGTCCCAGCTACTTAGGAGGCTGAGGCATGAGAATTGCTTGAACTCAGGAAGTGGAGGCTGCAGTAAGCCAAGATTGCACCACTGCACACCAGCCTGGGTGAAAGAGAGATTCTGTCTCAAAGCAAAAGCAATTATAGATTCCCAAAATATGTCAACAAGAGATTCAGAAAAGAAGAAGTGGTGAAGTAGCACTATTTAGAGAGAAAATGAGTACAATTTTCCAAAAAACCAAAATTTAAAATGTGTCAAATTGAATAATTAAAATAAATCCACATGTAGAAACATTCCACAAAAACTGGAAGATATCACAAGAAATCTTAAAAGCTACCAAAAAACATAGATTATTCATAGAGTAAGAACGACACAGATATTTCTGCAATAATAGATGAAAAAGTGTATTAAAAGAATTGAGAAAGTTCAATAGGCAATCCAGCTAAAAGTAACGGCAAAATAGGGCATGTTCAAACAAACAAAAAGACGAATAGAGTAATTTTATTACCAGAGACCTTTATTGAATGAACTGCTAAAGAATGTACTTTAGCCAAAATAAAAGTGAGCCCCAAAGAAGGAGAAACTAAACAAACAAGCAAACAAAAAACAAAGAAGTATTGGTAAATTTAAATAGCTATTAACTTAAAATTAATTTTTATATGTTAAAGTAAGATGACAGGGATAGGAGATAGTCAAATGGATGAAGCATTTCAAGCTCGTATTCAGGAGGATATAATACCAACTAACTTTAGGCTTTGAGAAAAAAATGCTATTTAATTATATACATAAAGAATGTGAGCACATAGTTGTTATCATCATTACCATTTTAGGATATTATACTGGAGATTATAGATAATGTGGTATAAAAAATGAAATGAGCATAATTATTCAAAAAATTACAGCTATTCTTATTTGTTAATGAGGTATAATTTTTAACTAGAAAATTGAAAATACTAATAGAAAAAAACTTCTAAAATTAATAGAAGATTTTGGTGATGCAGCTGAATAATATGAGTATACAGAACTCAAGATTTTTTCTCTTTATTAGCAATAAGTACTTGGCAATAGAAGAGGGGAAAATATTCTGTTTCTAATCTAAACAAACCCATAAACTAAGTAGCAATGAAAATATGGAATACAAAATAAAAGAAGAAAAACAAAATGTTACAGAAGGAGGGCCAGGCACAGTGGCTCATGCTTGTAATCCCAGCAATTTGAGAGGCTGAGGTGGGTGGATTATCTGTGGTCAGAGTTTGAGACCAGCCTGACCAATATGGAGAAACCCCCACTCTACCAAAAACACAAAATTAGCCAGGCTTGGTGGCACATGCCTATAATCCCAGCTACTTGGGAGGCTGAGGCAGGAGAATTGCTTGAACCTGGGAAACGGAGGTTGCAGTGAGCCAAGATTGCACCATTGCACCCCAGCCTGGGCAATAAAAACAAAACTCTGTCTCAAAAAAAAAAAAAAAAAAAAAAAAATTAAAAATAAATAAATAAAAAGTTACAGAAGGCAATAAAACATCTGAATAAATAAAGACGTACAAGGTCCTTATAGAAAGACAATGTCATAAAAATGTCATTTCTTCCAAAATTAATGTATGGCATACAAAGCAAATCCAATGTGAATCCTTCAGGAATGGTTCTGAGTCAGGTCAAAAGCCTAGACTTGCTAGTAGATACTGGTGGGAATTTGAACTGTACTTCACCTAACTTCATAGAAATCACTCAGGTATTCATAAAGGATATTTTGCATGAATTACTGGAATCTTATGAGCAGGAAAGGGGCTGGAATCCTCAGGACATAATAAAGGAGGCCAAGATGGTACAATATCCCCACAAGAATGGTAAAGGGGCTTCCAAGCAAATGATCAAATTCTCATTTCCTCCAGGCAGTGTTCACTTATCAAATTCTGTGGCAGACATGAAGGGATGTACGAACCCACATTTGTATCTAAGATTATGCTGTTAACTTTTGCTTTTTATAGTCATATCCTCAGTTTCCACAGTTTTGCTTTTAAAGAGTCTAACTTATTTAACAGGCTATGTTGAAGGCTATTATTCACAACTCTGCCCCATTATGATAACCTAGAAATCCTAAGAGTGGTATTTTTCAAAATCTGAACATTCAGATGGATGAATAAATGCTAATAAAAGTACTAAGAAAAGGCCAGGCGCGGTGGCTCACGCCTGTAATCCCAGCACTTTGGGAAG